TTGAGGCCCAAAACTAACCCGAGGTCTTTAACGAACTTTATTCATTTGATTAATTAACATATTAATTAATCCTTGCCACAAATAATTAAACCATTTAATTATCCTTACTCATCTCCGTTGTTTCTTCAATCTCTACCTTACACGGTGTACGATCCATTAGGTTTCTTTTAGCGAGGCAGTGGGCGATTAAAACTCTTTCAAATCGATTGTAAATTGAAACTTACTTTCAATTCTCCTTTTAGTGATTATACACGTTTAGGGCTCTCACAAACCATGAGTGACATCTAACAGTATATCATGGTTACCCAAGCTAATCAGAAGAGGTGGAGAACCTATTCAGTTTAGGATTACAATGCAATACGGTCTTTCTCTAATACAATACTCTTGACCACATTGTTTGGTTTGATAGTTTATTCATGTCTACTATCAAATATGATTCTCTTACTTATATGATTACCTTGAATGTGATTTGGAACGACTTCCTAAATCTCATTCATACTCTGGTCAGAGATTCTTAATCATATCATAGAGTATTCTCCCTCAAACGGTTTGAAGGTTAGAGATCCCTTGTTGCGCATTCACTTGCCTCCATGGCTAAGTGGCTTAACCCCAACTATGCCGTGGACACCCTCTGACAGAGTGACTTTGACATAGTCAAAGATCAAGGACCTAACCACAAGACAACTATGATGCCTCAGGTCAAATGACTACTTTGCATTATCCCAACCATGAGTTCTCATGTGACATAAGTATGAGAACTCCTTGTTGATCGTGTTCAGTGGACTCATTCTCTATTGAGCACCTACATGCTTGTCTTGGTGTCAATCACACCAATGACTCGAGACCAGTCACTCTCCCTGAGAGAAGACACAACACGTACTGATCTTAACGGACTGTCAATGCCCAATTGGCAATCCTATGATCAGGAACATTTAGGATATGTATAGGAAAGAGAATGGTCTCATGAATCTAGCTTCTTTAAATTACATTCTCCTAATTACATATTCCTTGGACTTATCGTTTAAGCATATAACATTTATATGAGACGGCTTAAAACAATAATATTTGCCCTTGATATTAAACTAGATTAGTTTAACATGTGAAATGTCCGTAAAGTATCATCATATGATTGGTTTTAGGGCACATTTCCAACACCTCCTCCCTTATTCACCCTCATCCCCTATAACTAATATTCATCCTATGACCACTAGGTCTAAGTCGGGCATTTTCAAATCTAAGGCTCTTTTAGCAACTAAACATCATCTCTCATCTCATCTATCTCCTGATTACACACCTTCCACATATCTTCAAGCATCTAACACTTGCACTGGAGGCAAGCTATGCAGGAAAAGTTCAATGCTCTACTTCAAACTGGTACATGGTCTCTGGTACCTCATGATTCCTCTCAAAACTTGGTAGGGTGTAAATGGGTTTTCTGTATTAAAAGGAAGCTTGATGGTTCAGTTGACAGGTACAAAGCCCATCTTGTTGCTAAAGGATTTCATCAGTAACAAGGTCTGGATTACAATGAAACCTTCAGTCTGGTTGCAAAACCAGTTACCATTCGCCTTCTCTTAACCCTAACAGCTAAATTTGATTGGTTTATCAATCAGTTAGATGTTAGTAATGCATTTCTGCATGGAAATCTCATTGAGCCTATTTTCATGGTTCAACCTCCCAGGTTTGAAGATCCTGCTCACCCACAGCATGTTTGTAAATTATACAAGTCTTTGTATAGCCTAAAACAGGTTCCCAAAGCTTGGTATGCCAAGTTAAATGCTGCATTACACTCTACTGGATTCTCTGGCTCTCAAAATGACCATTCTTTATTTTTCAAGAAAGATGCTTCAGTGGTATATGTCTTGGTGTATGTTGATGATATTTTAGTTACAGGACCAAATTCTGCAACATGTAAAACTATGATTTCTTAACTCTGTGAGTTATTTCCTGTTAAGGATTTGGATCACTTCATTATTTTTTAGGCATTGAGGTTAAGAGATCTTCCAAGGGCATTCATCTCTCAAACTAAATACATTTTGGATTTCTCAAGAAGGCACACATGGAGGGTGCTAAACCATGTGTCACTCCACTGAGCACAGCTAAATTGGATCACTCTTCTCCATTACTGTCCAATCCAGAAGAATACATATCCTTAGTTGGAGGGCTTCAATACTTAACCTGGACTCAACCAGATTTGTCTTTTGCATTAAATCTTGTCTGTCAGTTCATGCAATGTCCACAAGAATCTCATTTCCAGGCTGTTAAACGCATTTTCAAATATTTGAACGGCACTATTTCTCTTGGTCTCTGGTTTCCAAAATGTTATGCACCTTTTAGTATTCATAGTTTTTCAGATGCAGATTGGGCCAGTTGCACTATCAATTGGCGTTCCACAGGTGGTTTCTGTATTTTTCTGGGTGATTCACTTATAAGTTGGAATGCTACGAAACAACCCACCGTGGCTAGATCATCAACTGAAGCAGAATACCGATCTTTAGCTACCACTGTTGCTGAGTTAACTTGGATTGCAAATTGTTAGTCGATATTGGTCTTGTTCTTCCCTGTCCTCGTAAACTTTGGTGTGACAACATATCTGCTATATCTCTTGCTAAGAATCCCTTTTTTCATGCTCGAACCAAGCATGTGGAGATTGACTACCACTTCATTCGGGAGAAAGTCTTGGCAAATTCTATCACAGTGCACTTTGTATGTACACAGGATCAAACTGCAGATATTTGCACTAAAGCATTATCCAAGGATCGGTTTCTTCTTCTCCAAGACAAACTTTCTCTTCGGCTACCTTAGCTTAGTTTGAGGGGGGATATTAAGGGTAGTAATGTAAATGATGCTGAGTAAGTGTTGTTAGAGTTATTGTGAGAAGTTTGTTATACCTTACTTAATTAATAAGTTAGGTAGTTATCCTATATGTAAATGATGGTATATATACCAAAAGTGTAACATTATTCAAGTAATGAAATTCACAATTTCATTCTCTCTTCTCTCTCTATCTTTCTTACTGGATCTCTCTCTAGATTCTAACAAGCAACATACCATAATCTGTCATACGCTAATTAATTTCCATTGACCCATTTTGGAAATTTCCCTCACATATTTTGATCGCCAGAAGAAGAAAAAAAAAGGACGTATCACAAGCATTAGATACCGATGATGAAAAATTCATTGGCTAGCTAAAATAGATTAATAGATAGGATTCTTGTAGAGAAACTTACATAAAACGGATTCACTGTCATGTAGTGTTTCAATTCAATATAATGATACGTGTTGAAAAAACCATGTCATATTTTTATTGGAATGAGACTCCATAGAAGAGATAAACCTCATTGTATGCAAGTTCTCTTATTCTTTAAGGGTGCGTTTGTTGCATCGGACTGTCCCAGACTGGACTAGCTGCAGGGACTAAGCTGGACTGGCTTAAACTAGACTAAGCTAGACTAGCTTAGTGAAACGTTTGGTGCAGCGTCGAACTAAGAAGCAAGATAATTAAAACATTACTGTTACCAGTTTGATGTTTGCTTAGATTATGACTACATTATTGTTCTATTTTAATTGCTTTTTATATTAAAGATATTATTAAAATTAATAATATTGGATCAGAGTGAGACTCAATAAAAATATAAAAACCAAATTTTTTTGCCAATGAAAGAAACATACATGATTCAGGATGCGTTTGTTGTACCTGACTATCTCGGATTGAAGTAACTTTCAAAACTAAGTTAGACTGACTTGGCTTTGACTAAGCTGGATAAGAATAGTGGAGTGTTTAGAGTTCAAATACTTCTTTTATCATTCATTAATTCATTTTACTATTATTAATACACCTTTTTTATCTTAAAAAAAAAACAAAATACAACTATTTTTATTTGACTCTCTCTCTCTCTCTCCCCCCGTCTCTCTCCACGGTCTCTCTCTTTTCTTCCTTCATTTGCTTTGGTTCTTCACGCCCAGATTTGCTCCCAGTAAAACTTAAACCAGAAAAAATAAAACCCACATTTTTTCTTCTTTGCATTTTCTTTCTCTTGAATTCAAACCTATATTTTTCTTCTTTTAATTTACTTACTTTCTCTTCAAATCAAACCCAGAAAAATCTCCAATTTTTTTTTTCAATTTGCAAAGGCTTCGTCGGATCTACAAATTCATTTCAATCGACCTCTCCAAATCAACGTCAATCGATCTTGCAGAAGAAAGAGACAAACTTGCTAGCGCATCTTCCTGGCGAAGCTCTTGGCAAACTCGAGTAGGGTGCGACGGTTGGTGCGGGATCTGGAAGAAGAAGCAAGTTGAGGAAGACAAAGACAAAGACAAAGTGAGTTGAGGAAGACGAAGACCAAGCAGACGAAGCGAAGCGATGGTCTTAGCAATCCTATCCTTTTTGGGCGGTCTTGTTGAGAATTAAGCTGCATTCTAGCTTTAGAGTTATCCTGCAGAAGCTAAACCTGCAGATGAAATCAAAAAAGAGAGCTAAGAAATCTGAAGTAATGAAGACCTTACTAAATCAGGAGGAGCCATTGAAATTCAATGGCTAGTTTCTTTTTCTAGTTTTAGAAAGATTACAGCTGGTGTTTTTGTTTTGTTTTGTTAATTGAACTGAGCCTTCCCATCTTCTTCCAAGTGGATGGATGATATCCTCCAATAACCATTTATGGTCGGAGAGGAGTTCTAGGTCCATAGATGTAGGATCTGTTTTTAGACTGGCTGTGGAAAGATATAGTCTTTGTAATTTGTCTTTTGAGATCATATGAAAAATACAGTGACCTTTGCTCTTCCTCTTCTCTCTTGGAAAAATCAAATTTCTTCAAACCCTTCCTAAAAGTTTCAATCTTTATCAACCTAAATCGATATGCCTGGTACCATTTCAAACATGGTATCAGAGCTTCGGTTCTGATTTCGAAGAAGGGACGTGATTCTGTGAAGAAAAAAAAAATTCAGAAAGGGTTAAAGGTGGTACCTTTATAACCATTTGTGATGTGCTACCTGAGAAGATGACTGGATCAAGCTCCTCCGGTGGTGATTTACGAACACCACAATTTAATGGATCAAACTACGATTTTTGGTCCGTAAAAATGGAAACCATTCTCATAGCATACGACCTATGGGATGTGGTTGAAGTTGGTCTTGCTGGACAACAAACAACCAGAGAGGAAACCTCTGAGGAAGAAGAAGAAAGCGAGTCAGAGCATATTCCAGTTGAAAAACCAGTTGTTTCAAAGGAAGAAAAGATCAAGAATGCCAAAGCTCTAAGCCTCATTCAAGGAGCAATCACTGATGAACTTTTTCCCAGAATCCGAAATGAGAAGACTGCAAAGGGTGCCTGGGAAATCCTGAGAAGAGAGTTCAGAGGAGATAAAAAGGTAAGAGCTGCTGTGAAATTACAAGCCATTAGAGCTGATTTTGAATATCTAAGGATGAATGATGTTGAATCTTTGGATGACTACCTGGCTCGGTTTTTTGAAATAGTAAACAACTTGAAATCTCTAGGAGAAGATGTAACAGAGAAAAGAATTGTTCAAAAGTTGTTGATGAGTCTAGGTAGGAGATATAAGTCTATAGTGTCAATCATTGAAGAAACCAGAGATCTGGACACTATTAGAGTTGAGGAAGTCTTAGCTTCAGTGAAGGTCTATGATAAAAGAGAAGACCTGCATGATGAAAGAGAGAAATATACAGGTACTGAGAGAGCTTTCAGCAGCCTTAAAGTCGGAGGAAATGGAAATGGGAATGGAAGTGTCAAAGGGAATCAGTATAAGACAAACCCAAAATGGGGTCAGTATAAGAAGGGTAAGAACTGGTCTCAAAACACCTGGAATAATGGAAGTGGAAGTGGCTGGAACAACAAATTTTCTACACACAACAGGCAATCAAGTGGCAGCCAAGGAAATGTGAAACCTCAGTGTCAAGTCTGTGAAAAATACCATTTTGGTGTGTGCAGATACAAAGGAAAAGCCAAGTGTGGAAGGTGTAATCGATTTGGTCATTTAACTAAGGATTGTGACAATGGTAAACAAGTTGCAAACTGTGCAAAGGAAGAAGATGCAGTCACAGCAACCATGTTCTATGCTTGTCGTGCAAGTTCAATTGCATCAAGCAAGTCAGTGTGGTTTTGTGGACAGTGCATGTAGCAACCACATGACCTCTCAAGAGTCCTTATTGATCAATCTTGATAAATCTGTGACCTGCAAAGTAAAAATGGGTACTGGTGATCTTGTTCAAGCCACAGGAAAAGGAACACTTGTAATTGAGACAAGAAGAGGGAAAAGATACATAAATGAAGTGCTGCTAGTTCCAGGATTAGATGAAAATATGTTAAGTGTTGGTCAAATGATGGAACACGGTTATTATGTTCTATTTGGTGGCAACATGGCTGTGATATTTGATGATAGCAATCTTGAAAATGTGGTAGCAAAGGTGATTATGACAGGGAACAGATGCTTTCCATTGTCCTTTGAATCTATAAATACAGTAGCTAGAAAAGCCTCAATTGAAGAAGAGTCAAGGATCTGGCATAAAAGGCTTGGTCACTTGAACCTTAACAGTCTAAAAAGGATGCAGAAAGAAGGATTGGTGCTTGGGTTGCCTGCATTATCTGAGATGAAGGAAGTTTGTGAGAGTTGTGTTTCTGGGAAGATGCATATGGAACCATTCGATAAAGAGAAAGTGTGGAGAGCTAGTCAACCATTAGAACTGGTATACACTGATGTTTGTGGACCAATGCAGAATGAATCTGTTGGTGGCAACAGATATTTCATAACATTCATAGATGATTTCTCAAGAATGTGTTGGGTGTATTTTCTGAGGAACAAATCTGATGTGTTCAATGTGTTTAAGAAATTTAAAGCCTTTGTTGAGCTACAAAGTGGTTTCAAGCTTAAGAAGCTGAGAAGTGACAGAGGAGGTGAATATACCTCCCATGAATTCTTGAATTTCTGTTCTAACATTGGAATGGAGAGACAATTACAGTGGCATACTCCCCTCAGCAAAATGGAGTTGCTGAGAGAAGAAATAGAACTATTTGTGAAATGGCTAGATCAATGATGGCTGAGAAGAATATTCTTGTGATTTTTTGGGCTGAAGCAGTTGGAACTGCAGTATACTTGCAGAATATGTGTCCTACAATCTCTGTGAAGGGTAAAACACCATTTGAAGCTTTCACAGGGAGAAAACCAGGTGTAAAACATTTGAGTGTTTGGAAGTATTTGTTACAGTCACATTCCATCAAATCTGAGACAGAAATTTGATGACAAAGCAAGCAAGGGGATCTTTATGGGGTATGGCAGTTGTGAGAATGGTTACAGGATTTATAATCTTCAAACAGAGAAGATTATTCTCTCAAGAAGTGTAGTGTTTGATGAGTATAAGACTTGGAATTGGGAAAACAAGCAAGATGAAGCTGTCTACATGCCTCTCAACATTGGAAATGAAAACACTGAGATAACAGAAATGGAAGAATCTTCTCATGAAACTCACAGCATTGACTCTCTAAATCCTACTCAATTAATCTCAGATGATGAACATGTTCCTGGAAGCAACATTGCCAGTACAAGTCAAGGCTCAACACCAAGCAATACACCAGTAAAGCTGAGAAGTTTGGAGGACATTTATGCAAGATGTCATATGACCGTTATTGAGCCTGAAACCTATCATGAAGCTATTGAAGACAATGCATGGAAGGAAGCAATGGATGCTGAGATTGAAACTATTGAGAAAAATGGAACTTGGGAGCTGGTGGAAAGACCTGCAGACAAGCCTGTCATAGGAGTCAATGGGTGTTCAAAACCAAACTGAATCTTGATGGATCAGTTCAAAAACACAAGGCTAGACTTGTGGCAAAAGGGTATGCTCAGAAACCTGGTATTGACTATAATGAAACCTTTGCCCCAGTGGCAAGGTTGGATACAATTCGAACTTTGATTGCACTTGCAGCACAAAAGGGTTGGAAATTGTTCCAACTAGATGTTAAGTCAGCCTTCTTAAATGGAGTGCTTGAGGAGGAGGTTTACACTGAGCAACCCGAGGGTTTTGAAGTCAAAAATGCAAGTCACAAGGTCTATAAGTTGAAGAAGGCTCTCTATGGTTTGAAGCAGGCTCCTAGAGCCTGGTACAGTGAGATTGACACTTATCTCACAAACTGCAATTTCAAAAGAAGCATAAGTGAGGCTACCTTATACACTAGAACTGATGATGAAGGAAATATGATCATAGTCTCTATATATGTTGATGATATAGTATACACTGGAGGTAGCAATACACTGCTCAGTGAGTTTAAAAGAGACATGATGCAGAAATATGAGATGACTGACTTAGGACTCTTACATCATTTCTTGGGAATGAGAGTTCTACAAACTGAAAGAGGGGTTTTTATTCATCAAAGCAAATATGCAAAGTCCTTACTTGTAAAGTTTGGTCTGGAGGATTGTAAGTCAGTGACGATACCTCTACCCACAGGTGAGAAACTGAAGAAAGTTGATGGAAGTGAGTTGGCTGATGAAGGGTTGTTCAGGAAAATAGTTGGCAGTTTGCTATATTTAACTGCAACTAGGCCTGATATAATGTATGCAGCCAGTTTGCTATCAAGGTTCATGCATGGTCCCACGAAGAAGCACGTGGGAATAGCTAAAAGAGTTCTTAGATACATTCAAGGTACTCTCAACTATGGCATTGAATTTACAAGGGACAAAGATGCTGTTTTGATTGGATTTTGTGACTCAGATTGGGCTGGCAGTGAAGATGACAGTAGGAGCACATCCGGGTATGCATTCAGTTTTGGTAGTGGTACATTTTCATGGGCCTCAGTCAAGCAAAACACAGTTGCATTGTCAACTGCAGAAGCAGAGTATGTCTCAGCAGCAGGAGCAACAGCTCAAGCCATCTGGCTAAGATTTGTTTTGGATGATTTTGGTGAATTGCAAGTTGATGCAACACCATTGTTTTGTGATAACATGCCTGCAATATCTATGGTCAAAAATCCGGTTTTTCATCAGAGAACCAGACACATAAACAGGAAATATCATTTTATTCGAGAAGCATTGCAGCAAGGATCCATTGATGTGAAGTACTGCAGAAGTGAAGAGCAGTTGGCAGATATATTTACAAAAGCTTTGCCTAAAGATCGATTCAATTACTTGAGGATGAAGTTAAGAGTAAAGCCAGTAAGCAGCTTAGGAGAGGCTGTTGAGAATTAAGCTGCATTCTAGCTTTAGAGTTATCCTGCAGAAGCTAAACCTGCAGATGAAATCAAAAAAGAGAGCTAAGAAATCTGAAGTAATGAAGACCTTACTAAATCAGGAGGAGCCATTGAAATTCAACGGCTAGTTTCTTTTTCTAGTTTTAGAAAGATTACAGCTGGTGTTTTTGTTTTGTTTTGTTAATTGAACTGAGCCTTCCCATCTACTTCCAAGTGGATGGATGATATCCTCCAATAACCATTTATGGTCGGAGAGGAGTTCTAGGTCCATAGATGTAGGATCTGTTTTTAGACTGGCTGTGGAAAGATATAGTCTTTGTAATTTGTCTTTTGAGATCATATGAAAAATACAGTGACCTTTGCTCTTCCTCTTCTCTCTTGGAAAAATCAAATTTCTTCAAACCCTTCCTAAAAGTTTCAATCTTTATCAACCTAAATCGATATGCCTGGTACCATTTCAAACAGGTCTCGCTAAGACCGATTAGTGAAGAGTTTAGTCGGCACGAGTCCGACATAGTCCCATTAAACACAATCCTGGCTCACACCAAACATGGGATTAATATTCTTAGTAAGCCAGTCCAATCCAGTAATACTTAGTGAGTGCAAACAAACACGCCCTAAGGGCATTTTAGTCAGGTTAGCTCTTCATTTCACCAAATAATTATAGACTAACATTTGAACAAAACTTGCAGTTTATGGAGCGAATTTGAACCTGCAAAGCTGTTCAAATCAGCTCAAACAACCACATCTTGTATCCCATTTCGGTAAAAGGCCAACTCTCTCTCTCTCTCTCTCTCTCTCTCTCTAGACTCACACACACACACAAATCAAAGTTGGACAAAGTAAGAAAAAGGCTATAATTGGCGTGGGAAAGAGGACTTGCCTACAAGCTTTGGCTTCTCTGGGATTAGATATTTCCGAAAGCTGAGGTGAGGTCAATTGAAGAGAAGACCCAAAGGAGTTGTGGGGAGTTGTGGAACCCTAAGTAAAGGTCCTCAGCTCATTATGTTTAAACAAAATCATCTCATCATTTTTCCAGGGAAAAACTAAAACAAATTTCCAAATACTATTATTTTTCATCGTATCGCATTTCATATGTAGCTAGATCTTCGTTTCCGAACTTTTATTTAGCTAATCTTGTCTTCTTATTTTATTTATTTTATCTTGTATATAAAGTCTGGGTTTTATAGTGTTCTTGATATATATGATCCCAAATATATATCATCTGTTGCTTCATCTTTCTGTCTTTCTTCACTTTCTTTTTCTTCTCTGTCAACTTTTTTATTTACATATTGAACATGATATCAAGAATAAATAACTGAGACTTCGTTTTTATATAAATTTAGGCCTTTGGCTTTCCAATATATATATATATATATATATATATATATATATATATATATATATATATATATATATATTTAACATATATATGTGTGTGTGTGTGTGTGTATTCTAATTAATTTGCAGAACCACCACCTCCTTCTTCTTTTTTCTTTGAATTTGATTTCAGCCCCAGTTTTCTTCAGCTAACTTCCAGCTCATGCTCACAAACCTAGCTAGCTCAGTAATCTATATATTACTGATCTGTGTTTTTCTCATATGGTTGAGAGAGAGAGAGAGAGAGAGAGAGAGAGAGAGAAAGAGAAGGAAAGAGTTCCTAGTAAAGGGTACTGCACCATTAATGGTGCCATGACTACCAAAATCTTGTTCAGCATGTTGTAGATTCTGGTACCAGAGTTTGTATAGGGCATTTTTTTTCTATGCTTAATATATATTGGACTCTTTTCTTTTTTTGTTTTTGGGTAAAATATTTATGGACTTTTTTCTATCTTAGTTTGGCCTTCGCATTAATCAAACTGCTGTTTTTTTTTTCAGTGGCCTACAACCCTCATACTTTTCCGGTGCGATCTACTTCTAGATCTCCTCAACTTTTTGTCTGATTTCTTTTTTTTCTTATCATACTTTTTGTCTGATTTCCTTGATTTATTTTTCTTTTGTTATTTTAGTCTCTAACACAATAATCCTTGATGTCTCCCATCACCCGATCGATTCTCCATCATAATTATCTTTTTCATTTATAATATCTTAATTTCAGTCCTTCCCTTTGATAGCTCGAGAAGAGAGAGGAGGAGATATCTCAAAGAGGATTTTCTTTTTAAATTTTTTTCAGTCTGTCCTATAGTGATTTATAGGGTGTTCTATTTAATTAGCAGTTTATTTTCCATTTAGTAATATATATGTATGTATGCACACACATATGCTAGCTTTCTCTTTTATTCAGAATTAATTCTTGTTATTTTAATTAATCATCACGCTGCAACGATCTATATGAAATTAGTACTATATATATCCTATTTATTAATATTGTATAAATTCTTTTATGTATACAGGCAGGAGGTTGGTTCGCTCTTGGACCGGATCAAAGTAAATAGATATTAAGATGGGGAGGGGAAAGATTGAAATCAAGAGGATTGAGAACACGACGAATCGGCAAGTGACCTTCTGCAAACGAAGAAATGGGCTGCTGAAGAAAGCATATGAATTATCCATTCTCTGTGATGCTGAAATTGCCCTCATTGTCTTCTCTAGCCGGGGCCGTCTCTACGAGTACTCTAACAACAAGTAATATCCTATAACTAAATTCATCCTTAACTGTTCTTTAACTTCACTTCACTTCACTTATCATTGATTATTTATTTTCTTCACTTGCATGCATGCATTGATTAAGTAGTTATTTACATTTGGGTCACAATTTATGCGCTGGATCGCTAGATAATTAATAAATATCACTCTATGCAATATTGCAACAACAAGAAGTATTATCCTACTAAGTTGGTCTGGTGTATGAATTCTATAACGTCACTCATGAGCTCGGTTTTTCCGAGAAGTTTTCCGTTAGCTCAAATTTCTCTATTTCTTTTCTTAAAATCTCTTTCTAAGTCTTCATAGGTCTTCATGTACCCCTTTTTATCCTAAGCCTCTATCTCGTAATTGTATTTTCTAATAGGAGCATATGTAGGTCTTCGTTTCACATGTCTGAACCACCTTAACCAATTTTTTCTCATATTATCTTTAATTGCGGTCACTCTTACTTTACCTCAGATATACTCACTCGTAATCATGTCCTTTCTCATCCGAGAGAGGACATGATTAAGAATGAGGATATCCAAGATAAAGTAGGAGTGGTTATAATTAAAGATTGTTCAACATATATATTTTGAGTCCAACTATATATTATTGGAGATTTTTCTTGTCTTTATTAATTCCCAATTTTTGAGTCCAACTAAATTTGATTTTATGAAAATAATTTAGAAAGCGTTGAGTCCAACTTAAATAGCGCTTGCAAGTGTCTGCGTGCAGTGGCGAAGCCACGTGGGAGCGACGAGTGGCGGCCGCCACTCCCCTCGTCGGGAAACACCACTGGACCCCAGGTCTTCGCCACTCCCCTCGCTCTCGTCGGAATTCATGGTGGAGGAGATTAACAGAGGTCTGGAAGAAAGTCGAAGAAGGGATTACGGTGGGGACGACGAAGGAGGGGGTGGGAGTGGGATCGACGGGGAAGGAGATGCGGTTGCGATGGACGGAGGAGAGGTTGATGGAGGAGGTGTGGGGATGAGATTGACGAAAAGCAGTTGGGGGTGTCGGGTCTGGGAGAAAAGCAAGGAAGAAGATGGGTGTTTGGATGTGGGTTGAAGATAAAGTTGGGTGTTTGGTTAACAAGATAACAAGTATTGGGGAAGAGTTTTAAATGACAAGTGTTTTAAAGTTGGGTGTTTGGTTAACAAGATAACAAGTATTGGGGAAGAGTTTTAAATGACAAGTGTTTTAAAGTTGGGTGTTTGGTTAACAAGATAACAAGTATTTGTGGTTTTATTTTTGGGAGTTTTAACAAAAAAACTCCTGGTACTGTTCACTTTTAACGAAAAACCACATTTATACATTTCTCTGGTGCTATTCACTATACCTTTAAAAAGGGTTTTTCATTAAAAATGAAGTTTTTTGGAGTTTTTTTTTAGTTTTCCTTTTATTTTTAAGTCTTGTATGTATTTTTATTTTCTCTTTTAAGACTCCCACCGTATTTATCTTAAACTCTCATATTATTTATAAATATTGTATTACTTTAAAAACAATGTAAATATTGTTTAATGCTTATTTTACGATAATTTAAATCTATCTAGGCTTCCGCCTAGATCTCGTCTAGGCACCTAGCTGCTAGGTCTCAGTCCGTTGTTTGATTAGTACCTAACATTTTTTAGGATCTAATCCTAGTCAATTTAAGTTTCTTACAATGGCTTAGATATTATTGCTTACAACTGCTTGGGTGGAGAGACCCTTTTCTGCTATGAATATTGAGTCAAAACTTTGCACTATCTAATGTGAAAGTAACCGCTTCGATTGAACTTTACACTCTTTTGAATTTCGCCCCTCCCCTCTGAAAATCATGGCTTCGCCACTGTCTGCGTGGGTTTGCGTTAAAAAGAAAAATATCTAAGTTAATGCTCTCTTTCTCTCTACATATGTGTGTGTTACTGTTGTATATATGGTGTTTATAAAACCACTGTAGTCACAGTTTTCTCAAAGACATAAAAGTGAATGAAAAGGAAACAGTTGCACCAATTTGGACCTACTTTGTTCCACAAGAATCAAGTACTTGTTGGGTGTGTTTGATACTTCATTTTCTTCATATTTAGGGCTACAAATCTATTAGAATCTCTCTCCCTCTCTCCCTCTCTCTCTCTCTCTCTCTCTCTCTCTCTCTGTGTGTGCAGTGGCATGCATTGAGATCACATATATCATGATAACGTGTCGATGGTCTTCCCTTTCCATTTCTGGCTTTCAAACCTTACTACCCTTCTGTTTGTCTTTATCTAGCTATATTGTGCAGTACTCTAATTCAAGAGAAAGCTTCTTCAACTCTTCACTTTGGTTTTCACTCTAAAAGGTTAAAACTTTCATAATATATATACATATTTATGTATATTTACTTACCACTTTGCAAAAAAGAATATGAAACTCTAATAAACTCTGTGCTCAGTTTTAGTTCTAGGGTTTCTATTTTAATACATGCAAGGGTAACATGCACGTGCCATGCTGCTGCATTTGTGGGGGTTATGCATATGGAACAAGTTAACTGACCCATCCATGATCCACCCATACTCTTTTTTGACTCTTGAGGTTTGGGGTTGGACTGGAATTCTCTCTGGATCTCTACCATCTAAATCCTCTCTAGATCTCTACCATCTAAATCCTCTCTAGATCCTTCAATTCTGAAGCTGGTGAGAGAGAGAGAGATGGAGATCAAGAGGGAAGAAGATGAATGGAAGAAGAAGAAGGTGAAGGTGAAGGTAAACAGGGAATAAATTCCTGACCGTTCAAATTTTGGTTAAACAGACAGAATTGAAGAGTTTGGAGAGCTCATTGATCAATGGGGTTTCTTTGCATGAATGGGGAGTTTTACACGTACCGTACGTAATTGTGCTGACATTTAGTCTTTTGTTGCATGCATGGATGTCTTCCTACATCCTCCTAAGTCCCAATTGCTTTCCAGTGTCAAATTTTCGTCTTATTCGTCTTCAACGTCAAAATTGTCTGCTTTAGCACATATCTACAGCTATGTCAAATTAAAAATTGCAACACTTTTGAACTATTTATTTTACAATAGCAGTATATCTTTTGATAATGACTTGTACAGAATTGAGTTACACCTATGTAAACCCGTTTTTTATGAATTATTCTTCTATCTTTTTTAGAGTTGACGTTTTTTCTCTTATGCTTCCCATTTCTTAATTTGTTTGACAAAACCTCCTTGTTGAATTAACATTTTTCTCCCTAAAACTAAAAAACTTTCGAAATAATTGTTTGTTTTATTAAGTGGTGATTTATATATTTATGTATATAGCTGAGAAAAGAAATACTAAAAGTAGGGGAGAAAATAAAGTGTCTTATTTGTAATTGACATCTGCGTGGCTGCGTGGTGGCCAGTGCTGTGCATATATATATATGTCATTGCCCTCCACAAAAGGGATTGAATTGACTTGAGAGCCACGCCATGCATATATTATCCATAGGCAGTGTGCCCTATCTCTCATTCATGTCCCATCTCACCAACATATATATGTGCTTTCAGCCACCCCTTCATTGTTTGACACCTCGAAATCGCATGAGGTTATTTTTGCACTTAAAGTTCTGTTTATTGAACAAAACCAAATATGGTCGTATACAAATTTAGGTCATCTTCAGTCAAGGGTATCTAACAAAGGACCAAAATGAATCAGCTAAAAGAATCAAATCTAAATTTAACAAAGGGCAGGCCCGGCAGGGTATATATAACGAGCCCTCAAATCCCTTAGCGGCCCCATCATGTGCTTCCCAAGTCAAGCCCGTTTAGAGATGGAAAAATTTAGCCATGTGTGACTGGAGAAAGAAAGACTTAGCCTTACAATATTCTTTAAAATATTGGTTTATGGGTGGCTAAACGTAGCCAAGGGCTAAGTACGTTTTAGCCGTCCATGACTGTAAATAGCCTTAGCTAAAGAAAGTTGAAAAACATTATTTGGCATGGAATAGCAGTTTACAGTATCTAATAATCTTTTTTATATATTTAGAATCACCCCTTAAAAGTCATGTAGTTCTACAATATTTAAGCTCACTATAAGCCGAACTTCGTTGACACCCTCAAAATGCATCTAACATAAGATACAACTTCCAATTATATATTGTCATGAATTATATATATATATATATATATATATATATATATATATCTAGCTCTCTCAGCCTCTCTATATTTATAATGTTTCAAAAATTTATGAACCCATACAGTGCTAGTAGTTATTCTATTGGTTCATCAACTCTTTTTATCCTTCCTAGATCCTTTTTGTGGGTTCATGTGAAATTAACTTATTTGAAAAAGAAGTTGATCAGTTTACACATCTGTATCACCTATTGACACTTCACAATTTAAATTTAACCTGCAGCAGTATAAGAAACACCATAGAGAGGTACAAGAAGGCATGTTCAGATAGCACAGGATCAACTTCTATTACTGAAATTAATGCTCAGGTGCGCCATATATATATATACACACACACACACATATACATATACATATTTGTTTAATGTATTTTTATTTTAGTTTTTATGCCTAACCAGATATTATGTGAGTGTATATCTTATATATATATATTTATAAACCTTGGTCCTTGCATATACCTTTCTGTTGAAGTTTGATACATATCTTGTGGTCTGGTTAATGGATTAACTTACTTTGGATAATAGCATTTGTCAGATTGACAGAAATACTTGCTGCATTTTTGTCTTGATATGCAGTATTATCAACAGGAATCGGCAAAACTGAGGCAACAGATTCAAATGCTGCAGAACTATAACAGGTGATCCTCTCCACTGTATATTTCCTTGTATATACATGCATTGAACTGGAAAAGGACCATTAATTTGATCGCAATTGTTTATAACCTCCCGAATGAACCTGCATGAAAATAGTCCAAAATATATACATATTTCATCAGTTACCTAGAGATATCAATTTGTTTTGAAATTAAAGTATACTTCTCTATAGAATTGACCTAGCTTGCATCTCAAGGCGCTTAATTGTATATATAGTGGATGAATAAAAATATTGATTGCTTAATTGTAGGCACTTAATGGGAGATGCCTTGAGTAATCTGACTGTGAAAGAACTAAAGCAGCTGGAAAATAGGCTTGAACGAGGCATGACTAGAATCAGGTCCAAGAAGGTAATTAATTCACTCAATTAAACGATTGATTTATACGATATTCTTGATGGCTTTCGAAGAATGCTGCATACGCGTATTTTCCAATTTAGTAATTGGCCATCTTCAATGTTCCTCTCGCAATTAATTATTTCCTGGTATGTATGTATCTGATGCTTGAGAACAGGATGAAATGCTGATTGCAGAGATTGAGTACTTGCAGAAAAAGGTAAACCTTTTACATTTAAGAAGAGTTGCTCTCTTCCTATGAAGTGAATGCTCTAAATATAATCAATTATCTCTGTTATGTACGTAGGAGATTGAGCTGGAAAACGAAAATGTTTATCTTCGAACTAAGGTATGCGCAAGCGCAGAGATTAGTATTCATATACGTTAATTTTATGAAAATGCATGCCGAAACTAATTAATCATCAGATGAAGAGAGTACTTTCCCATCTGTGCGTGTATACATACATGTTTAATTAGCCACTAAAATCACTCAAAAATAACTGATATGCATGCAGTCTCTTCTAAGTTATATATGTTTTATAATAGTTCTCAAAAAATATAATGTACGTACGATATTCCAACATTTACTAGCTAATTAAATCAGAAATTATTGATATATACACATCGATGTTTAATTTTCCGATGGATCGATGATCAGATATCAGAAGTTGAGAGGCACCAAGCAAACATGGTTTCTGTGCCAGAGATGAATGCAATCCAGGCATTAGCTTCGCGCAATTTCTTTAGCCAGAATATCATTGAGGGTGGAGGAGCTACCTTCCCACAGCAAAACAAGAAGATTCTCCATCTTGGGTAATCACTAAATTACTAATAATTATATATACATATACATACATATATATATATATATATATATATATATAATTTAACCTGTAATTTAATTCGTACAGAAACAATAATAAAACAGAAATTTTTTATATCTTGAGTTTCATATTTTGTTGTGTTTACGTGCAGGTAATTAATTAGCTTTTTGGAGGCAGAATCTTCAAATGCAGGAAATGCTAACCTCTGTCACCTCAATCATCTTAATTATATCCAGATATTACTAATGATGATTTATCTTCTCTTATGTGTTCGGAACGAATATTGACTTTTTCAACAAGATTTCTAATTAGTAGCTTAATTATGTATTTGTAAGGATTGTAATATGACTTTGGGATTAAGTACCTAGTACTACCCCGAATAATTTTTTTTTAAATACTACGAAGAATAATTACTACACTATGTCTCGTAATTTAATTAATTAGCTTAATTATGGCAGTGATGCTGAACTATTCGTTACATAAGATGAGATAATGAGTAGCTGGGTTTCCCAGTTTCTTTCATGGTGTTATCTATGCTAGCACGTACTAGTATATCTTCCACAGAACCTTCCCTTCCGTTGATTGGATGCAATAATTAAAACTACTAAGTTTTCGTTACACGACAATCCAGTTTTGCAATTATCATCGATTTTGATAACCATTGCAGTTTTCAATTTAAATAAAAAAAGTGCAAGACTGAAAATTTGTGACTATTTATTTTTATTTTTTAATTTTTTAAAAAGTAGCTTTTTATTTTAAAAAACCAAAACCAACCACACTTTTGAAAACAAAAAGCTACCAAACAATCTTTCATTTTAGAAAAAAAATGAAAACAAAAACTAAAATCTAAAAACGGAAGGACTATCAAATACCCTCTAAACAAATTAAATAAGTGTCACCAAGTCTCTTTGCCAAGTGTCACCCCAAGAGACACTCTTTGAATTACAAAATAATGTCTAGGAGTGTGCTATCCACTTTTTTTTACTTCACATACATCTTTGTTAATAATTTTCTTTAATTTATTCGATTTTGTGCCTGCAATCCCTGCCTTTTCGTACAAAATTAAAACATAATATTGTTTGTTTAGACAAAGAAAACTCACCAGCTAATAGACGTGGGTCCAACCATGGCCGACAACTCTGTTGACGACATATCAACTGTTGTACCCTAATTTGGGTCTCACTGAATGTATGTAGAAAGGGAGGCTTGCGCTTATTTTACAAGGGAGCAACCTCACCCAAATTTGATACAAGGCTCGTAACCCTAGATACGTCACTCTCTCAAACTCTAGTAAATGTAACCAAACAATTTTTCTAGTAGAAACGGAAACGACACCAATGTAGATGTAACCCAACTCCGGTTGAACAACGATATATCACTTGTGGTTCCACATTTAACATCAAACAGTTAGACACCGTTATGAAAATCGACGCAAAAAGCTAGGAGAAGCTGCTACAAAAAATTTGGCAAGGATTTTTTTGTTTCTTTTCTTTTTATGGTCAGCGATTTTTTGTTCCTATTCCAAGTTTCAGTTATTTTTTCTCCGATTTCCTTTCATCTTTCCATCGTACGCATACCCTCATTGGTTGCTCAAAAAAAAAAAAAAAAACCAATGGCTTCTTTTCATCTCCACAAGTATCCCATTCTCTACAAATACTTAACAACACACACACACAAAATACGCTTAACACTTAAGCTGCAAGTCTCTTGACTCACCGGAAATTCGATTGACAAATCAAATTCACTAGGCAAGGAAACTCTAAGGATTCTCCAATGGATCAGGGTCAATCTTATGGTAAGTTCAAAATGCAAGGGCCGCCTTTTCTTCAAGTCGACCCTTCTTGGCTTAAACTATCAATTAAAACTGCGTAAAATAAACACAGAGAACCGAAGATAAAGATTAACTCATCCAAGAAATCTAAACGGGTGGTATGTGTGAAGGTGGTTTCAGTTGCAATACTGAAGGATATGCTGAAATTGTAAGCCAGAGTTGCAGACAAAATATATAAAATATATGTATAGGTATAAAACAGAAATAGTAAACCCAGCATCCTACCAATTTATTTACATAAAAGGTTCAAACCATAATCATTGTCAATCGCCGTCACAAACAGTTTGCAGCAAACTCCACATTAGCCAACCGTTAAACGAGGAGAAAGATTGATTCCTTACCACGCATCTTTATCAAAAGTTGCATTTATAGAATGACACACTTGGTTTCACCTCTTTTACGAAGCTCCTCCTCTGCTTTCATTAAATGTTCTCGAAGCTTTCGAATTTCATCATCAGACTTCAGCTGAGCCTGTTGAGCATTCTCTTCTGCTCTCAGACGTGCAGCTTGTTCATCTGCCAACTGTTGCTCAAGCCTCATAGTGGTCTCTCTTAACTTTGACTCGACCTGTGTAATATCATCATGTTTCAGGACTAAAGAATAATGCAACATTTGATCCTTTCAAAGGAAAAAAAAAATAACGAAAGCCCATGCATATAGACGTTTATTTCAATCACAACATATGGTTAGTCAAAAATTATAAATGTTGAGAGAAATAATAATGCAATTAATCAGTAAGCCACACAAAGGCCAATTTTGTAAAGCCTCCCTATAGTCTTTCTCACCCAATCTTTCAACTGCCACAAACAACAAAAACTAAAAAGACGACAACAAAATTCAGTTAAAGAAGTTATCTTCAGAAAAATTCTGTTCCATAGTTTACAGAAAAACTCTCTTCAATTATTTTTCTTATCAAACTCGTCAGGTGATCCCAGTTTCATGCTTCATACTCTGTTATATCACGAGAACATAAGCATGCAAAACAGATATGTCAACTCGAAACATATGATGTCAAAGTCCTATATATCAGAAGATATGGCTTGAAGGAAATTTCCAACTGTTAACACTTTTTTGTACTACCAACTCTGCAAATACTAAATGTCAATTCTTGATGACCACTCCACTCATTTCATTCTACCTAAACTACTACATGACATTAGAACAGATGAAAAAATATAAAGCAAACTTATGAAGCCATCCCTAAACTTTGTAACGCATGATGCATAAACTGTACATCTCCAAACTTATGTGAGAGAGAACCAATAAACTATGCAAAATCTCATCTGAAGGTATTCTACAACCGCGGGACTGACTACTAAATGCATTCAAGAGTTCATTGATCCCAACCTTATATGCAATAACTTGTCTACAAGGTATTTGCAAGTGATAATATTTTCAAAGGCAATCAATGGAAAGGAAAAACATGGGACGGTGATTTAGATATGATAAGAAATAGGTCCCAACATATTAAAAAAAAACACAAGAGGTGGTCAATATCATTGTCAAAGAGTGCAACCAAACATGGTATTCTAGTTTTAACCGAGTAAGAAAACTGGAAGAATATATTGACATCCATAGCTAAATCCAAAAGCAAAGCATGTGAAAGCTTAGGGCAATCTGTTACCATCTCAGTAATCCGCTTAAGCTGCTCGTCATGTGCACGCTGCATCTGATCCTTCAATTCAGATATTTCTCGTTTGGAATACCCCTTCAAGGAGTTGACCTCTTCTTGTTGATCACGAAGTTTAATGGCCCCTTTCTGTCAGATACAATGAAAACTTTATCATGATATTTACAAACAAAAAGACAATTTAAGCAAGTAGTTAAGAATAAAAATAATAAAATACCTTCACTTCAGCAAATATCTCATCTGTGTACGGTCGCCCACCATTTTGTGATATGACCTTGTTTACAAGGGATAGAAGGTTCTCGACTTGTTTAACCCTCTTACTTTCATCCTTAGTCTTATTATCAAAAAGCACACAGCGGTTTTCACACAGAGTAAGGATGTCCTACAATAATCCAAGAATTCATTAATCTTTTAATACATAACATCCAAGTATTCAAGATGGTAATGGATTACATAAGAAATTGTACGTAAGTGGTTGCAAACCATACATTAAAACGTAAATACAAACTATAATAAGCCCTGATTCAGGCATGGTTAAAGAAGAAAGAGGATAGGGCCTTGTTTGGGCGAGGATTGATAGAGTTTTCCCTAATCTAGGTTGGGCTGACGTTTTCTCCTGTATCTACTACTATAGTGAAAATCCATCATCCATTATACCATGCTTACTAATGGACAATATTCTTTGATCTCCAGCACACTAGACAATTGAAGAGAAGGGATCAAAGAAACAAGACATGATCAATGACAGAGTGCATTTTAAATACAAAAAAGGAGCCACTGATTTCATGGACACGCTGAAAATGAAGTTGCTGAAAACTGTCCCAATAAAATAAGACGGAAAGTCCGGCTCTTACTGTCTTAAATAAGGATGATGTAAGCTTATGAGGAAATGAATGGTCATCCAGAATGAAGGAAATGGAAAACCATTATGAGCGTAGGGGTGGGTTTAACAGGTTTTTAACTTGACTTCATGTTTCTACACGAAACTTTAATAATGTGAAGTAATTCAAGTTATGTAGCAAATAATTCCAGATAATCATAGAACTAGGTGGAAGTAATAAGCACAACCCTGTTGATATATATCAAATAAAAGGAAAATCAATTCTGGAAGAAATGCAAAAACAAAAAAAAAACTAATGGTGAAGATAACATAATAGTTTATAGAAACGAAACAAAAGAAGCAAAACGTTAAATAACAAGGTTAAAGGTTGGTGAATAACCTTTAAAGGTTCTGGGCATTCACGGCCCAAATAGTCATCCAAGGTCTCATCATTGTCTTCAAGATCATCTCCCCCAGTAAAGACCACAATCATATAATCAATAATTTTGCTTCCAAACAAAGTTTGCAAGCTACGCAATGCAGCTTCTTCTTCTTGTGAAAAGCGAGTCCTAACTGAGAAAACTACAACCACAGCATGGATTCCATCTTTCGCCAAATCAATACATCTGACAATTTCTTTGCCAACAAAGTCTGACTTTGCAGAAAAATCAAAAAGACCTGCAGTGGTGTGCCACACAAGTCAACACAGGGAGAAAGATTAGCTTTTGAAAACTAAATTCATTGATGCGACTACCCTATCCATCTGTCTCTCTATTCCAAGAAATGGACAGAATGTATATATTCAGATTGAATCTACAAAGAATACAAATTAGCAAGATTATACCAGGAGTGTCAATAACATTTACGACTTGTCCATCTCTCAATACAGTTTTCTCCATTTCACAAGTACTCGTAACACCAGAGGAGCTTGTCCTGGACTTGAAGGCCTTTCTTCCAAGAATACTGTTTCCCGTTGCACTTTTTCCATTACCAGTACGTCCAACTAAGACCACAGTGCGAACAGCACTAGTCAGTGAAGCAAGCTCCCAGTCATCATCAATCGAACTTCCACCCATTATGTAAATCAGGAAACCTGAGCTGGCATCTAGTTATGTTAGTATATATAGTAAAAAAGTATGCTTCACATAAGGCATAAACGTGCAATGAAAAAAATCACGTTTGGACCAATAGAAAAATGTTTTTTTACGACACACCCACTGCATAAATGAATCCCTATTTCATGTAACCACAATTCCAAAACTCAGAAGTCATATCTCCGTTCTTTGATAGAAACAAAATTATGCAAATGACCCTTAATCAATAGATCGTTTTTTATTCTGAGCAGAAGATAGTGATTTCGAAACATGGTCAATGAATTGTTTCCCTTTGGAATGGAAACTTTCTCAGCACCCAAAAGCCACACGTATTTCCATGGACTGGCAAGACATTCCATTAAGTTAAAAAAAATTCGAAGTAATCAAACAAACAAACATAACACAATTTTCGAACAATTATAGGGAGTCCCAAATAAATAAATTAAAAACTACAACTGAAACACCGACCCGATGTTCTAATTTCGTTCTTCTATTTTCGGCTAATACAAAGGCTGATTATGCTTCAAATAAAGGTCGTACCCAGTGCACAAGGCTCCCGCTTTACGCAGGGTCTGGGAGAGGTGAATGTCGGCTAGCCTTACCCCCATTTTATGGAGAGGCTGCTCCCAAGTCTCGAACCCGAGACCTACCGCTCATGGGCGAAGGCACTTGCCATCGCACCAAGTGCGACCTCTAGGAACCAAGACAGAAGCAAACAAATTTGTACGAATACATGTAGCAAATTATACGCAGTCCCAAATAAATATATTAAAAACAACTGAAACACCGACCCGATGTTCTAATTTCGGCTAATACGAAGGCTGATTATGCTTCACATATCACTATTAGTTCCATTTAAAACAATTTCCAACCACTAAACAGAGCATAGGAACCAAGACAGAAGCAAACAAATTTGTACGAATACATCTAGCAAATTAAGCAAACGATCATCAAGTACTGCAATCTTCAAAGTAAATCTAATATATTTAATCATAATCATCGCAATTAAAGCTAGATGACTCCCCAGTCAACAAAATAAGAAACAATTAATCAAATCCAAAACCTGAATCAGCTAAATACGCTAAGAACACAGATCAGAAGCAGAAATACTTGGGATTTTCCGGGAAAACGAAAAGCCCCCAATAATGCACCAAATAAGTCTCGACTGGGCGCAGAGAGGCAAAACAAGCAGAAAGCGTAAACCTGGATTTTCCCGGAAACCAAACAAAAAGTAGAAATTTGGTTCGAAAGAGAAGAAGAATTTGTTCAAGGGATTAGGAATTGGGAGATGACTTACTTGCAAAGGAAAATAGTAGAGTCGCAATCGCCGACACAGTGGGGGAGATGATAAGTTCCCCAAGACTTGTTTACTTATTTATTATCGCCTGTATTTGCATAGGGACCCTTGGCGTTTGTGGGGCCCGCTAAAATTACAATCAACGGCCGAGATTGCACCCACTGTTTCCATGTTTATTGGGATTTGTTTTTTGTCAATTGTTTTTCGGATTTTTAATTTGTGTTGCGGCCAATTTTATAAGAAAGAGGAAGAGAAAATAATCTTCGCAAGAAAAAAAATATCTTCAAATATGTAAATCATATGAGTTGTCATGTAAATAGAGTTTTACATCTTTAAAGACTAAACAACATTGCCTTTATCCAACGAGAACAACTTATATAACACAAATACACTATTATATAGAATATTTATTAATATAAAAGTGATTTGTAAATAAAAATTTACACATATTTATTTCATTTCCATGAAACCCACCATAAATAGTGTACACGTATATATAACAGTTTCGAACTCTTATTTCTCCCCTAACAATAAACAGTGTTCAATATCTTAATGGATAAGGTGTTTCTATCCATACACTCCGCGTTCAAAACTTCTTCATCTTCTAAATATTGTAATAATTTCATACTCTATCTTTTATAATAATAATACTAAAATAATAAAAATAAAATAAGTGTACACAAAGTCTTTCTCACATCCTAGTTGCTTATGTTCTGGAGTTGGGTTGGACCTTCTACACACTAGTTACTGGCCCAATTTCGTGGGCTTTTTGCTTCTTTGGATGAACCCAATCTCTAATGCTAGGAGAGGAATTAATTGTTTATAAAATTTTCCAAAAAATGAGACTAAAATTAAAGTTTGCAAAAAAATTTACCAATTATAAAAGTAAGAAGTAGCACAGGTTTGGTATTTTGGTACTTTTTTTTAAATAGGTATAAAAAAACTAAATTTAAAAACAACTTATTTTTATAATTTTAAATAAAAAAACTGAAAACGCGGAGCAACAAAAATAAATTTAATCCCCGTCGCAGCAAACTAATAAATTAAAATTAAAAGTCCAGCGAGAAATTAGCAGCTCTGCGAATTCGGAGCAAGCGGACAATACCCCTAAAAGAAAGCAGGGAGGGAGGAGGGTAGAAAGAAGAAGGAAAAGGAGAAGTAGGAGGGCAGGCAGATTGAAAAAAAATTGAAATCAGAAGAGAAAAAAAGAAGATGAAGGTGCCATTGGTGAGGACGAAGGTGTTAATTCGGCACTTGCCTCCGTCTCTGTCTCAGTCCGATCTCTTCCACCAAATCGACCACCTGCTCGCCGACCGCTACAACTGGCTCTGCTTCCGTCCAGGAAAGAATAGGTCATGCCTTTTCAATTACTTTGGGGTTTCAATCATTTTTTTTCTTATTCTTACTGTTTCTTAGAAAAATTAGGTTTAGGATTGTAATTTCAATTCGAATGGGGATTTCTTTCATTTATTTATTTTTAATTGGAGCTGTTTATACAACAACAACAATCAAGCCTTATCTCGGTTTTGCGCCATGTCTTCCCTTATCCCACTAATTGGAGCTGTTTATATGGCATTTTTGTAGCATTGTAAGTGATTATTCATTTTTATGCAAATTTTGGATTTTGGTTTTGATGTTAAAAGCAAATAAAAATACTTCCGGAATGCATTTCTTGACCCTTTTTTGGTGGCTTGGGGAAATTGAACTTGTTACATTAAGGGGAAAGAGATATGTTTGTTTCTTTGTTACTTAAGGGGAAAGAGAGAAGGACGAATTTTTATACAAATATGTTTTTGTTTTTGCATTTTTGAATGGCTAATTACTTATTTGTTGAGTTTGTATACCCATAATCTGTTATTTGAATAAATTCTGTGCTGAGCTTTGGTCTGCGACCGCGTTTAAAACAAGAGGAAATCAATATTGTAGATGTTATGGGGTTTTATAGGTAGTGAGTTCCCCATGCAGTTCCTACTCCTGTACTTGTTCTAATGTCGATAGATAGACATGGAAAGTGGTTTTGTTCCCTTTTGTTCTCAGTTGTAAAAACCGTTGTTGGGCAAGAAGGAAACCGTATATATTTGAATTTTTCATTTTTACTTTATTAAGTTTTGCTTTGAGTAGCCAGATTGATTTATCAATTTTGGTGGATTCACATGTTTGTGGAACTCATGATTGATGGGGAAGTTTGGTTTTGCAAGAATCTGTGTTTTCTAATTCGTTTCTTGGCAAAGAAATGGAGAATAAGGAAATTTTCTCATTTAAATAGTTTTCTTTTGAAATAATGTTGCAGCCAGAAGAACCAGAGGTATTCTCGGGCCTACATAGATTTCAAGCGACCTGAAGATGTTTTTGAGTTTGCTGAATTCTTTGATGGACACGTGTTTGTCAATGAGAAGGGTAAGGAACACTGGAAATATGTTTATTTACCATGGTATATTCATATGTACGAATGTTTCTGTTTTTTGGCTTAAGTTAGAACCTTGTTTTAATGACTTTGTGTCATATTGATGTATCCAAATTTTCTTTGTAACTTGAGAGAGAGATTGCTTGATCCTTGCAATATAAAAGAATATATCCACCTTGGTGTTAGAATTTCAGTCGTATATTATATTTGAAGCTTGGCTTGAAAGTTTGAAACTTTTTTTTTTTTCTTTCCAGGGGCTCAATTCAAGGCTATAGTTGAATATGCACCCTCACAGCGTGTTCCAAAACCTAGTACGAAAAAGGATGGCCGTGAAGGGACAATATATAAAGGTGCTAAGTTAGGACTAGTTTGATAAAGTTTTTATTTTCTGAATAAAGAGAAAATAACGAGGAGAGAACGGAGAGGCATAAAATGGAAATGAGAGAGGCAATGAAGAGAAGTTCAAGAATAAGTAGAATTAAAAGTAAAAAACAACCTTTCATTTTAGTTCCCCCCCCCCCAAAAAAAAAAAAAGCTTGTAGACTAACATGATCTGACCTGACTTATTCAACTAACTGCAACATACTTGACAAATTTAGATCCTGATTATTTGGAGTTCCTCAAACTTATTGCAAAGCCTGTCGAGCATCTTCCTAGTGCAGAAATACAGCTGGAGAGAAAGGAAGCAGAACAAGCTGGTTAGTTATGCATTTACTGACATTTTGTATGTATGTTTTCTTAGTACTTGCATAATATTTTGGTAGTCCGGAAAGTTTCCCCTCTTCTTTTTTGGTTATATCAATACGAGTTAGTTTTCTCAAGATCTGACACTATTTCTCTGTTATTTTGTTAGGTGGTGCAAAAGAAGCTCCTATTGTTACACCCCTCATGGAGTATGTTCGTCAGAAACGAGCTATTGGAAGTGGTACTCAGGTAATGGCACTACAATTGTTTTTCTATGTGTCCTTGTGTTGAAAATACATTACATAGCCCTAAATAATAAATAGACTACATTTCCTTGTAGTCTTCTTCTCAACTTATCGCTTCAGTACCAGAAAAAAAAATATTGCTTTGAGGACATTATAAAATTACCCAATTAAGAAAAGAAGTTGACTCCCTTCTTTTATTTATCTGCCTATTTACCTAATATGTAAGGGTCTTTTTATTTGTACTTTCTATCCATGAAAACCTTCACTTGCGTCTGAAAATATGTATAGTTAAATTAAGATAGAGCTCTGGAGCACACAATGGTAGTCTGGAGTTCTGTTATGGTCAGAATTTGATATATGGTGTCTCTTGGGCTGTCTTTTATCTACTTTACCCTATAAAATAATAGCATAATTCAGTGTCTCAAATCTTTTTCCAGATCAGCATTTATTATGCCTCACAGATGTACCTAGTCACTTTTGAAAGCTGAGTCCTGAATAATAAAATTCGTCATTCGCTATCCAATATTAATCCACTTTCCATGAAGGGCTAACTTATTTTAAAACAGACACACAAACGCACATGAAAGTAAGCATGGTCATGTGCATCCGCACAAGCACATGTTCATATTTTCAGACTCTAGCTAGACACTCTGTGTTTAAAAAGTTGAACTTTTACTCTCATTATTTTTTATAGCGAACAGAATGTTATAAGCTGTCCTGATTTTGTACGGTTTATTTACTTGTGCACATGAATCCCTTTTCTCTGCGAACAACCTATAACGATCTGTCTGCTAATATGTTAGACAATAGGAGATAAGATAAGCTGTGTGGCTTTACTGGAGTTCCTTTACCGTGGTAGAATCTCATACGAAATTTATTTTTGTACATCCTAGTTTATAAGGTATTAAGGTGAAATGTAATTCTTTTCCTTTCTCCAGGTACATCCTAGTTTATAATTTTCATCTACATTTCTTTTGAGGTATTGAATTTTTTGTTTGATAATAGGTTTCATCCGTTGTTCGGAAGGTTAGAAGAAGAGTCAGGGCTGCCTCTGTTAGCAAACGTGGCTCACCTTCTACAAAACGGGTCTCTGAGAAGAAAAAGGCATGTGCCTCCATTTATGTATAAATGTTCACAATCACCTGTAAAGAGGGGTTTTGAGGGCATCTTTTGTCGATAGACCTTTCCTTTCAGTTATGATTTCTCCTTGCGGAGGCAAAATATGCTCTTGACTCTTTGTGTTTTTTTATTTATGTTTTCCCCTTCTTCTATTTTACCCTGTGACATGTACCACATATGTCTGTGTATAGAAAGTAACAGAATTGTAAATTATCTTTTTGATTGACACAGTACATAATAAAGGACGGTACTAAACACACAAGTCGAAGGGACAAATCCACTTTCAATGTGGTACCCAGGCGAGAGGATCAGTTGGCTCGTTCAAGTGGAAAAGAAACATTAGAAAATGAAATTGGTACTCAGTGTTTTTTTTTCCTGTTAGTGTTTTTTTTTTCCTTCTGTTGGTGTTTGTTGTTTCCATTCGTAGGAGATGTTTTCAATTTTAAACAATTGCTCAAGGTGGACTGATTATTATGTGCATGAAGGAATTTCTGCTTCTAATTTAATTCGGAATTGGCCACTCTTTCCAGTATCATTTGGTTGCAAGCAATAATATCTCATGTATGCGATTAGTGTGTGAAGTAATACCTAATCACAAATTTCCTCAGTGGTTAGTTACATGTCATAATGTTACCGTATTAGTTTAGATAGGGCTGTCAATGGTCAGATCAAAGATTGGTTGAATACAATTAGGTTCAAATATCTTACAGAAAAAAGTCTGATGGTTCAAACTTGAATTTGATTCTGAATCCAATTATTGTTTGGTCAAATTTAGGATTCGGTGATGGTGATTAGAACCGTTAGGTTAGATTAGATCTGAACTTGATTTTAAATATTAAATGAAGAAGTGTTACATCTTAAATGAAACTTTATGTAAGCAATCATTGTCTTAGATGAAAACATTGAAAGTTGATATTTATCTTGGACTTTGCTTTATTGCTGATTGTAAGTTTGAACAGGCCTAAACTAAATAATAGTTTGATAGCTCTGCAGAATGAAAAGTATATCATGTAATTGAAGTTTCCATTTGATGCAAAAGTATAATACGAAATAATTTCTTAAGAAAAAAACTGATAAAAAAAGGTTTCCCCACCTTATTTTAGGTCATCATTAGAGTCTGTCGTTAATTGAGAGCATTATGCAAGTTAATCATTTTTGTGATTAATGCGGTACTTTCTTGTAGTCAAATTTTAATTTAGTTAATGTTTTCACTTGACTGAAATTTTGGGAGAATGAACTTCCAATCTTCTTTAGACACCAAACTAGATACTACAAGAAAAAATATATGCCCGTAATTTCTCGTATCTTTCTGCTGTGTTTTTATGTTTGCTAACTTAAATTTTTTATCAATGAAGGTTCTGTTTCAGGAATCCCTGTGATTTCTGACTCTGGAAAGAAGAAAATCTTACTTATTAAAGGAAAAGAGCGTGAAATATCTCCTGTAAGTTCTCAGTTTTTTTTAGTTGCCTTCCTATTTGACTCTCTGTTTCGGATATTTATACTATTTTTTCATTTATCACGTGGACATGATCTATTATTTTACCAGTCTTTAAGTTTTTATAATTTTGAATTAGTTGTGATGGTCTTTTTAATTTTCCCCAGGTTGAAGGTATGTCACAACTTGGAAGTTCTCCTATTTCACATGCTCCGAAGCAGAACCAAAGGCGTGAGGCTAGTGGAAGAATGATCAGAAGCATACTTTTAAATAATGAGGGACGCCAAAGTCAAACTTCAACTGAAACTCAGCCTCAGCAGAAAATTCAAAGTCTGAACTCAGATGTTAAGCGAGTATCTCGGCCTTCCAATGCAAGGTCAGGGTTGAATGGTGACATCTCTACTAATGAACTTAACTCAATGAGCTCTGAAGGGGATAGAAAGAGGGCAACAGCTGATAGATTTACAAAAAAGGACGTGCATGGTACAACTAGTGTTAGTGAGAGGCAGGAAAAAAATACACGAAACAAGGATAGACCTGATCGTGGTGTTTGGGCTCCTCTTCATCGTGCTGATAGTTCACATGCTAGTGCTGAGCATTTGCCATCCTCCGGGTTACAACGCCCTCAAGTAATATCTGATTCCTTTGAAGGTAAGGGCTGTTCCTGTACATGGATGCTCAGGTGTTTGTGAGTATAGATGATCTTTAGTATTAAATCATGCTGAGTCAAATCTCAATGCACGAATATACACTACTATAGGAATATACACTGACTATCAGTGCAAGATTTTCTAGGTCATGGAAAAGGGAAGGACGACTCTTCTTATGGAAGCAGGACTGGGGAAGTTATAAATCCTACAAGTGGACGTAATAGTTCTCATGTAGAGAATGGTCAGTTAAATCTTCAAAGCCAAGATACTAGCAAACTATGAACTAATCGCATGTCCAAAGCCAAGATACTAGCAACTATGAACTTATCACATGTCATCTATTTGTTTATATTTTTAAATTTCACGTCTACATCTTCTGCTAAACTTTTATACTTTGTCTAGGTTCACATAGACATTTTGGTCGCCATGGAAGTGCCCATAATATGAAAGATGACAGTTCTGTAAATGTAGGTGAGGGGAAGCCATCTAAAAGAGGTGCTTCTGTTCATGGTACCCCTGAGGTATGCGCTCTTGCCATGTTGATTACCATATTATTTAATCTTCCTTTTATCTGAAAGTAGTTAGAATATTTCGCTGTTCGCTAGCAGAAACAAGTGTGGGTTCAGAAATCATCTTCAGGTTCTTAGAACATCCAAGGCTGGTACGTCCTTGATTACTTGCATCTTTAGTTTCCTTCTTTGTTTTGCCTATAACTTTTCATGCACTCGTACAGAAAAGGAAATTGCAGTAGATTTTTTTTTCTGCTGTTAATTTCAAGTATCAGATCAAATACATAATTTATGACTATTGAAACCTCCCATCGGTGTGGATTTGTTTTCAAACAAGCTTATGTAGCTTATTTGTGATGAACAATGACCTAATCCCGATTGTTTGCGGGTATGATTTGGTAGATTATAATGGTTTGCTATTCTGTTGAAAACAGATTATGTCATTCAGTCAGAACACTAATTCCTCATATGTTTAAGGCAATCATCTCCGTAATCGTGGCTTAAGGCCTTCACTGAAGACATCATGAAAATGGAGGCATACCTAAAAGGGGAATTTTGTTCGGGCCAAATTATGGTATGTTCGCGTGTTATTAAGTTTGAATTGGTTCTTAATCCTGGGTTGCAATCTCACATGAATTTATTTATTTACATTTTGGGGATTCTAGTCCAAATTGTCCAATTTGTGCCGGAGGGAAGGATTGCGGCACGCTCCAAGTTACAAGCCTTGCAAACATGACAAAAATTTGAGAGATGGTTTAACTTTTTTATCTTCAGTGTACGATTTTATCGTTATGTCATATGTATAGTTTAATTCGTGACGAATTTCATAACGCTAAAATACTCGTCGAGTTCGATTGTTGTGTGTACTTGGCGGACTGGTAAAGAGTATAAGAACCTCCACCTTTATGTACCAAAACGATGACGATGAATGGTGTACCATGTAATAAGGAATATTTTCGTGAAGTGAAATGTGCAGTGGTTTGGCGCTTTTGGACTAATTTTGTTGTTTTATTGGTTGTTAACAGTAAACAGTACCTTCGTTTATTTGTTCATTAGTTACTTATCAAGCTTAACTTTAGCACTGCTGTTCCGTTAGGAAATAGGAAGTCACATTGAGAAGAGAAATATCACGAGATACAAAATTGCAAATTGATCGAGACGAGACGATCTTTCTCCGAGCCTAATTGGTCAGATGTGATATAAAAAAAGTTGAGAAGCTAATCAACACCTGTAATATTGCAAATATGCTTTTGAAGATGATAAGATGAACCGTACAAATTGGATTGACTCTCTGGATCACACAATCCGGAGCTCTCGAACCGAGCAATCTGGACTGTTCAATTTAAATCTTGCGGCATGAGATTTCTTTTTCTAAAAAATAAACCAGAGAATATCATTTCATCTATATATGCTAATTAAAAAGAAATTGGGCAACTCGGCCAACCGTGTTCCACATACAACCGTGGCCTTCCACGCCGTAGTACTACGCAATCATCTATGTTTTGTTCTGTAACTGGAATGTAAAATAAAAGGGATCCCATTTGTGAATTTTATGAAGAAGCTATGGAATTTGAGCAATTTCCAACAACATTTTGTGCAATGATTGCGGCTTTGAGAAGAACGGGCAGTGGTCACTCCCTTTTATCTTGTACACTCCCTCCGGTGGGTTTTCGCTCACTAGCTTTTCTTGGACGTCTGGTGAAAGTGCCCGATCATCCAATGTTTGAATGAAGAATCGCCGGCTAGAACCATAATTTTCAGGTGTCAATGACAGTTTTTCCATGATCGGACCTAGTGGGATAGGTCTCATGGAAACCATGGCCAGAGCAACATCCTGGAAATCAATTAACTTACCATATAAATAATGTAATGGTAGCTTAAATCAACGTACAAAAACAAAATTTCGTATAAGATTCTACCACGGTAAAGAAACTCCAGTAAAGCCACACAACTTATATCTGATCTTATTGTCTTAACAGACAAGCAGACTGATCGTTATACGTTGTTCTCACAGAAAAAGGACTCAAGTACACAAGTAAATAAACTGTAAAAAATCAGCACAAATTAAAACATTTTGTTTGCTAGAAAAAAAAATGAGGGTAAAAGTTCCAACTTTTTAAACCCGGAGTGTCTAACTAGAGTCTGAAAATACGAATACGTGCTTGTGTGAATGTGTGTGACTGTATGCTTACGTTCGTGTGCGCTTCTGTGTGTTTTAAACAAGTTTTGCCCTTCATGGAAAAAGATTTGAGACAGTAAGTTATGCTATTATTTTATAAACCCTTCACATGGTTTTACTTTAAAATATCCTAGGCAAAGAGGACAGCTCATATTCTAATACTCAAAGTGATTCCAAGATAAGTATCGTCAAAGCACCAACGAAATACTTATCAAGTATGAACAAGACTCGCTTATATGATCGTGCCATAAAGTATTGACTCATTGTTACTGAACTACATATAAACACGAGATTACAATGGACTACGTGAAAACTAAGGTATGTAAAGAGAGAACTATCTACCCTTAATGAATCAGAGAATTTTCGTCTCTTCTCTTTCCGTTCTAGACTACCACAGAACAAGATCTAGCACTAGCACCAAATATCTCTTCCAAGCTTAAGCAAATGCTGTTTACTATGAGAAAAAATTACCAAGAGAATAAAAACCTCGAAAAGATAGACTGCTTTAGTTGTAACATACCTTCGCATTAGATTGGTTGAAGTATAACCCTTTCATCTGCTCTTTCTCAAACATGAATCCTGTAGGAGGCTTTTCTTTTCCATTCCCATGAATCAAAAACTTTGATCCTTGCATAAATTGTTCTGCGGAACCAAGCTGCAATACAGATTTCCTTCTTGAGAACACGAAATCAGAAAGAATTAAGAAATGAATCTGTTTAAGTGAACTGCACCCCCAACACGAAATTTAGAAGCAAATACCTCCTGGAATGGGTAAATGAAAAGATTGAAATGAACAAATAATTTATTTAACCCATGAGAAAGAGGCAAGCTTGCTACTGAAGGATAGAGTGGCAACATGCCAGTAAGGCGAAGAAAATGGCTTCCTTGAAAAGGAAAATAGTTTTTTCCCAAGTTACTTCAATAACCTTCATCACTCATAGGAATGTAAAGATAATTTTTCTAGAACAAAGGTGAAAGGATGCAAACATCCTCTTCAGTGTGTGAGGCTCCACATTTATACAGAGCATGTGTAACCGTTGGGTCTGATTGACATTCTGACAGCCTAATGTGTTATTACGTCTAACAAGACAACATTATCATATATGTATTTACAATTTAACACAGACACCACACGTAACAGATTCACTAGAAGCTCGTTAATTCAATTCAAATTTTTATGCAAGTAAGTTTTCTGATGGATTCAATAATTCTCAACAATATAACGTTCAATGCACATGATGGGACGAAATAGTTGCGACAGCTTGGAATTTTGTGAAAAATGGAAATATGTGGTGTTTTTGAGAAGTATTCGGGGCATATGCAGAATCGTTATAATTTTCAGGCATGCACAACAAAAGCTTAACTGATCTTAGCCTGAACTGGTTTATATTTAACTATTTTACCTCTGCAGCAAACACATCAAAAGGTCTCTGCCCATCAGACACCATAGTAGCACAGATGAAAACTGCTTTTGAAATTTTCTGCGAGAAGTGCTCCATTGCATAAGATACGCAGGCACCCCCACTACTGTGACCAACTAAGATGACCTGGACAAAAGTAAAATGCATTGAAGATTTGACAATATATTACATGCTTAGAGTGACAGAATGAATAACATATCAGCTTGTACCTTTTCATCCTCTGGAAGATTTTGTAGATAGTCAATCAATGGCTTTGAATACTCTTCCAGTGTAGTTATAGAGTTCGTATCTGCGAGATCAATACCAGAACCCTTGAGATCAAAGGTGATTGGAAGCAATCCTGCTTCCTCTAGTAAAGCAATTGTTTTGTACCAACACCATGCCCCAAATCCTTCTCCATGTACAAGAATAAACTTTTTTGATGTAAGCTTCTCCAAAAATTCCGGTCCCTGTAAAATATAATGAAATCGGTAATCATGCCAACAATTCAAGGGAGGATGAACATGAATTGGTGCATTACCACATCCCTGGTGGTAACCAATTGCTATGGTAAAAGTTTCTTGACTGTATAAAATAGAAAAGGAAGCAGACTAGAAACCAAAAGAAACGAACAGCAGGAAGGCAAAAGTTTTATGGACGTTGAGAGTTGTTAAAAAACCATGTTATGCATTATTGTGTTCTAGAAGAAGACAAGTGTGCATTAATGGATTATCTTACCCGGTGCTAATTTTGAAACCCACTAACCAAAACATAAACAGTTATGACATAAGTTAAAGACCAGATGATGTCAAGGTTATCAAAAATTTCAAATACAATCTATTCTCAGTGTTCAATAAGTACACGTTCAGACAAAACCTAAATTACATCATACAGAGGACACAAAACTTATAAAAAGATGCCTCCAGAATCTTGCTTAACGACGTTCCCGGGACATACAGCCAAATCTTTTAGGACAGCTTCAATCCAAATATAAACGTATATATACAATAACTGCTTTCTGTTTTTTTATAGAAATATCTGGCTCTCCTGAAAAGGGATGTAACGTTGTTTAACAGAATGGCGCTAGCAACTTTGCGGAAGAAGAAAGGACTCAATTGGTCCAATACGCTGCACAATGGAAGGATCTCAATACTTTGTTCGAGTTCCCCCGGGCTTTGGCAGACTAATCACATTTAGTGCAATTAATTTTGGTTAGATAACATAAACGCGCTGCTCTAAACTAGCTAATCAAGGGATTCAAAGTAAAAGTTACATGGTTCTCAAGAGAAAGTGAGAGTCTTGAAACGCACTTTTTCTTCTAGGTAAAGCAAAACAGTAGAATAATAAAGTTGCAAGATCCTTGAGAGCACAATCCACATAGAATAGACCTACTTTTAATAAGCACTTTTCAAGCCATCATAGCAAAGCAGTAGAATAATTCCTTTCTTTTGCCACTTATTCCTTGAACTTACTGTTGATTTCATATATGATTAAGCACTTTTTAGCTTTAACCAAAAGCTGATTAAATCAAATCATGAAAACACCCTTTTCATCACGGATCAAAAATTCGAAATCATGAAAAAGTAAAAAGTGGAAATCAACCTGCTTCCCATTAGATAATGGATCAGAGAGAGCGAGTCTCCTGGAGCTTGTGGACCCCCCAACCCTCCTAGACATGGATCCGTCAAACCTCTGAGACATTTGGTGCTGATGGAGAACCCTAGACAGAGCTTGCCTGTGCAACAAGTCTTCCTCCGCCGCCGGTTTCCTCTGCGAGCGACTCATTCTCTTGCTTCTCGATCCAGTTTCTTTGGTGTCCTTCTTTAACATGCAAATAAATCGATTACCCATTGTTGGTCGTTTGGGCGAATTTTCCCGGAAAATGGAAGAAAGTCAGTACATTGTCCCGGAAAATGATGTCTTGGTGAGGGAAGATGGTACTGTCTGTCCGTAAAGATGCAGTCTTTGGTGCCAAAGCTGATGAACTTTCTATCAGTTTTTCTTGTTCTTCACTAACAGAGAGAGAGAGAGAGAGAGAGATTAGATGAGGGTGGAGAGAGAAGTTTGTTGGGATTAGTATATAAAAACGTGTGCTGTGTAATGTGCGATGAAAAACTGGAACACTCTCTCTCCCTCTCCCCTCTCTCCCTACAACTGAGATGAGAGCTATTAATTGCCTTACTCTGTTTCTTTCTGCTTTTCGACGGTGGAAAGACTTTTCAATGCTCTTTCACTCTTTCTTAGTCCGGAAAACTAACCGAGTAGTCAATGGTAAAAAGGTTTACTCTCTCTCTCTCTCAATTAGAAAAATGACTTATATGCACACAGTACACCGTCACGGTAGTTTCTGTGAGGAATACTTTTGCTCAACTTCTAAAATGTGGGCTAAAAAATGGCCCTCTGTTGAAAATGACAGTGGATTGGTGAATGTCTACAGTGATATTGAAAACACACAGATTGGATTTTCACACGAAGGAGATCGTTTTTCAACATTGGCAATGTTGAGATGTGGACTTTGGAAATGAAGGAGATCATTTTTCAAAAAATGTATTGTAAATTTCAAACTGTAATAATACGGAGTTGCTCTATAAATAGAGTGTTCCGACTGCTGTTAAAGGACAGAGTGATATACTGAGAAGAAATGAAAGATTAATAACTTCAGTAGCTATTTCTCCCTCTTTTATTTGTCATCCTCTTGTGCTATAGCTTCAGTATGATATTTTACACATGCTTCGTTCCTGTCTCTAGTAAAGGTTATCTCTCTAACTTTTACATATTTATAACACCCTTTTCGTTGGAGAATGACTATGTTTTGGCAACTTTTTGGTTCCTTGATTGAAGATGGTAAAAAATATGGTCTGATATTATTTATTAAAAAATAATTTCTTTCAGAGCTATAGGGCTAAACATCACCCCCATTGAACATCGTTATATTAGTTTAAATTTTAAGATTCGTGTGTTAGATAAAATTTTTTTTTTTGGACAAATGCTTACTTTATTGATAACACAACATATTACATGAGAGAATGCCCACATAAAAGAAACACACAAACAAAAAGATAGACCTCCATAGTAACCCAACAGCCCAAAACATAGTTTTGAGGCCTGAACAGGAAAAACACCAAAGTAAACCCTAGCAACTTCCTACCTTCGTCGTCAACTCGCTTACCAAACGAACAGTCCCTGCAACTATCGGAAAGCAACAAAACAATAGTCCCAAAGCTGGATGAAAACAAAGGAACAACAGGACCCCAAAACATAGCCCCAAACTCCTCCACAGCACACCACATCAATAGTTGTCACAAATCGAAAGAAGCTAGCATGACAAAACCCACTAGCAACAATGCCAACAAAGGCAAACCAAAGGAAGGAAGTGGTGTGAACACCCAAGCAAAAGCTCTACTCACCTTCCGGGAGAAGCGCGAAAAATTGTGTTGAAAAAAAGTGGGGGCAAGTCGGATTGTGAAGTCGGAGAAGGATGAAGTCGATCCGGATTTGGAGAACCGGGGGGGGGGGAAGAGGAGAAAAAGGGTGGAAAAAATAAGGGGAAAGGGTGGAAAATGTGGAAAAGGTGGAAGGAAGACGAAAGGAAACATAAGGAAAAGGTGGAAGAAAGGAATAAAAGGGAGAAATTGGAAAAGGGACTGAAGGCAGAGACAACAGATGCAGAGGGGTGTGAGTGGCAAACAGGCCACTGGGCGGGGATAATTGTCACATCCCGGCCCAGGGCGGATCACTTCCCGGGCCCGCTCTACCACCGTAGCACGATATTGTCCGCTTTGGGCCCCGACCACGCCCTCACGGTTTTGTTTATGGGAACTCACGAGTGGTTTTGTTTTTTGGAACTCACGAGCAACTTCCCAGTGGGTCACTCATCCTGGGAATGCTTTGGCCTCCATCTCGCTTAACTTCGGAGTTCTTATGGAATCTGAAGCCAGTGAGCTCCCAAAAGGCATCGTGCTAGGTAGGGATGGGAATAGTAAGCCCAAAGCGAACAATATCGTGCTACGGTGGTGGAGCGGGCCCGGGATGTGACAATAAAGGGAAGATGAAGGAGGATGAAAAGCATCAGGAGAAGAAAATAGAAGAAGAAAAGGAAAAGAGAAGAACAAAGCAGAGAAGGGGAAAGAGAAGAAAACAGAAGAAGAAAAGGAAAAGTGACAACCTACTCCAACCGAAGCTAGAGTCGGCGCCTAAAAAGGTGGACAAGCTAAAGACCCTCACCAAAGGGGGGAAGAAAACTCTCACAGAGGAGAAAAGGTCTCTCACGGAAGGAGAGAAGGCATAAGGAGAATCAAACCTTTTTTTGTCTTAGATCAATTAAGCTAAACTAATTTGATAGTAAACAATAGTGGGGTGAGCATTACCCCCCTACTTTTAAAGGTGAGCAAAAATACACAAGTTTATGTGCCAAAATAAGAGTAATACTACATTTAACACATTTATACCATCTCTCTAATAAAAGTAGGGTCTGCCAACAAATGTAGGTTCTGTCTTTATTAGAGAGATGATAACAACAGTGGCGGATCTAGGATTATAACTTTGGGTGGTTCTAGTTAAGGAACACTTATGCGCCTAGAGACAAAAGCCTAAGTAGACTAGGCGGATTTAAGTGAACTTATCATATATCGTACAAGTAAGTGCCTAGTTAAATTACACTTACAAAATAATATAGTTGTCTGGAGAATTTGAGGTTTATTATTTTAATTATGTTTATTATTAAACATATAACATACAATAATATCAAAATATTTGTTTTAGCATTTTAGTGAATTTGATGGTATGAGATGAAAGTGCAAGCGACTAGGAGTTCATAATACTTTACGAAATACTTTTTAGATGTCGTATGAATTTATATGGAATTTAAAAAAATAACTGTGTCAAACATATGGTATAAAAATATTAGTTGAGTAATACACCATCTTTTGTGTAGATAATATCGTTTGTTAAAAAAAAATATTACACCATTCATTTGCTAATTAAATGCTAGGGTGATTGGACAACAATTAAAAAAAAATGAGAGTTTGTTATGTGGGAAATAGAGAGAAAAGTCTTTCTTCTTCGTTGTAACCAAGGTTCAAGAACATCAGAGTCATGATAGACGCCATGATTGTTTCTCTCTTCCACCAAATGTCCAGACCATTGGGTGGTCCTCAAAGGTTCTCACATGCGCTTCTTCGGATGTCCGGGTGGTCCTCGTACCACCTGGGTCCAAGAGTGGATCCGCCCATGGATACCAATATGCGGTAAAGTAACATTTTTTATAAGAGAAATGCTAAGGAAATTCTCTCAAAGTGGGACTATTCATGGACTCTATGTCACCTCATAGTTTAACGTCAATACTCGTGCTAACATTGTATAACATTGTGCCAAAAACATGAAGTAATAGAGAATCCAAAGAGTTTTCTTAGCATTCTCTTTTGATAAAATAAATGTATGTATAAATTTTTGCGTACATGTCATTGTTTCATTACTATTAGAAATCACGTAGGCATAATAAGTTGTTGTCCTGCGTCTCTACTAATGGCCGTAGCAAAAATTGTGCAGTAATTTTTTTGGTGGTAGAGGAATCGTACGTTGTAGGGTTTGTGGCGTGGCATCTTGGGTTATTGAATGTTGGATTGTCAATTACATGGTGACTAGAGAATGCATGTTGACCAAATTAAAACACAAAGGAATATGCTTGCTTGATGTTAATATCTAACTAATGCACCAATAATTGTTGGCTCGTAATATTCGGCTTTAAATTTCTCTCAATCCTCGTATAATGAACCTGAAAAGTTAGGAAGTGTTTGGTAAGTAGACAGAACGCAATGGGACATAATGAGACATAATAAGTTGGAATAGAGGTTTCGTGTTGCGTTTGGTATGTGGATGCAGGAATGGGACAATTGTTTTGTTTGGTGTTTGTTACGCGCAAGGCGGAATGAAATGAAAATATTCAATGATCAACTACCTATGTTTAGTCTGTTGTTTGGTACAATGTTTGTGGGATGGGTCGACGATTTTTTAATTGTTCATATTTGAACACATAGATACTTATTTATCATATATTTGTTACACTGACACCTATTTAAAAACGCAATAGCTAATGAAGAGTTTTAAAATTGATTGCAAAACAAATGGTGCTTGAAATTCGTAGATTGTTGTGACCTAATAAAAAGACATTCTAGATAGTGACAGATCTATGATTCTAACATTTGATAGTCCTAATCAAGGTAAGCTAGGCGTTAATTGAGCGGCGAGTTTGGGTTTATTACATATCATATGAATAGATGCCTATTTACACGTAAGAAAATTATACATGTATTGAAAATTTGGGTTTATTATTTTAATTAGGTTTATTATTTGACATATAACATACAAAATATTAGAATTAGTATTTTAGTGAATTTGGTGATATGAGCCGGGGTGGATCCATTCATGGACTCAGATGGTACCGAGACTTCCTGAAAATTCGAAGAATCGCCTATGAGGACCGCCTGACGGTCTAAGCAAGTGGTGAAAGAGAGAAGACCATCATGAATCTGTTGTTTTTAGACCTTGGTTCCAACAAAAGATAAAGAATTCCTCTCTATTTCCCATGACCAGCTCTCTATTTGTTTTTTCCATTGTTATTCAATCAGGTTGTGCCTAAGCATTTTAATTAATAAAGGAATTGTCTATTACTCAACGAATACTTTTTATACCAATGTTTGTCACCATTATTTTTTTTTTAAATACACTCATACCTCTGAAAAACATTTTGTAAAGTACAATGAACCCATAATCCCATAAACTTCACCGTTAGGTAAATCAATCTAAACTTTTGTGTGATTCTCTTCGTTAACCGTCATATTACACGTCTTAGACAAATAACCTTGTGAGTTGTGAAGCGATTTCCACATTTTCTGTTCCAAATCTCAATAATATTTGAACTCATTTGAAAGTGTTTGTAAAATAACTGAAAACACTTATGATGAGAGCACTTTTAAAATCAATTTTTAATAAAAATGCAAGTAAATCCTAAAAAAAACACTTCTTGCAAGAAGCACATAGCTGGTGCATCTTTAAGGAAGCACTTTAGGTGCTTTTGGAACCCAAAAATACTTTCACCTAAACGGCTTTAAATCATTTTAAAAACATTTCTAAACGAGCCCTTATTATGAAAAGTTGAAAACCAAACTATTTCCAACCACAATATACGTGAATTTGAACACTACATAAATGAATATTCACTTCTGCACAATATGTTGATACAAGGGTTGTTACTCCTCCATCCAGCTCCCGTCCCGCATGCACAAAAGATAGAGCAAATGAACCCTAACCGCGAAGTGTTGCCCGAGGGACAGCCGGTAAACCCAATTCGTCATCAGCCTGCCAGCATTGTATTTCAAAGAAGAATTAGCACAACAGAAAACAGTTATGTGGAGCATGCAGCCAATCCAGTGAGCGGGTACTCTGAAAGAGACTTTCTAACCACAAGGAAAACATCCAATTCAGCAAACAAAATCAAGGCACATGTACCTGGGCATTGGATCTCCCAGCCGGAGCTGTTGCATGTCCTGTGGGTGCTGAAGGCAAGCGGAGCTCCGCATCCAAGTCCGGTTCAGCATCAGGTTGGAGATAGGAGGGAACTCCATCAGCTTCTGTTTCCATACCCATGTCTGCTTCTAGAGCATCCAGCTCTGCACACCAAATTGAGAGTACGGTAAGACAATTAGAAACAGAACCATCAAGAACACAGAATCATATCAGCTTTGAATGTGACCAGAATAGATCTTAACAGCGCACAAGATGAATAAGAAGGTTTCCCCTAGCATATAGTCTAAAGATTGACAGTCCGAAATTGATCAGCAAGATTTCAGCCATGAATGAAATGTGAAGGCCGTATTTCCTTCAATAGTTGGGAACTTAAATGATTTCTAAGCTTACCACCCATAAGATCTTCCTCGTCAATGTCATCAGGAACACTATAGCTTCTGCCAAGGGTCTCTTGAATTTCATTGCTCACATCCATCAGGTCCGTCATTTCATCTTGCAAATTCTACAACAAACAAGTATTCACATGTTAGAAAGATAAGCTTTCAAAAGTAGCTAGTATGGAAGCAAGGGAACAAAAGTAGAAAGAGACTACTGACATCAATATCTTGAATCTTCACGGTTTTCATCATCCCCTTGAGCTCCTTGTTCGCAGACTTCAGGGCTGTCATCTGTGTAAAACATATCACTGTTATATTCCAAACAAAAGTATTCTTACAGCAGAAAATATGCCTCCATGGCGTCTACATTTAGAATCCTAAATGGATACCAGGAATGAGTACAACGGAATCCAACTTATAAGAAAAAAACCCTCCCCATACACAAATGGTCCATCTCCTACCTCTCATGAGGTAGGCAGCAGGTTCCAATCAGGGTACAGAAAAAGCTCCGCCTCAACAGCCTTGAACTATGCCCCTTGGGCCGCTACCAAGGAAAATCAACAATTTTAAGGTGAATTTAGTACATTCCCAGTGCAACCAAATTTGATGTAGAATACAGAACCTCTCTAGCAATGCTGTAAATCAATAGTTAACCCTTTAAGTAGGCATCCTACCTATCTCTTCTATTTTTTTTTTTAGGTACTTGTTTTTTAGAGGAAAGAAGGCATCTAATCCATCTAAATACATGTCATAATCAAAACATACTGGGTACCTACCCCCAGCCCTTAGTGCTAAAGGTTTGGCTTCACTAATACAATGAAAGCAGTTCGTCACACAATGTCATTTGTTATGTTGAGCTATGTCATTCAGTATTCTTGAATCCTCACATTTGAAAATCAAAACAATCCAACAAATGGATGAACATTAAACGAACAGATCCTTATATGTCTATTTACTCAATACTAAACATATGAAGTTTATCACAAAACTTAACAGCTTAGGACATTACCGTTTGCTGAGCATCTTTTATACCCTCTGAAGCAAAGGAAACTTGATCAAGGTTGAATGTCTGATTATACAGCATGTCCCGTTGTCCTTCATACCTGTCCAGAAGCTTAATGAATTATACAAATCTTCAAAGAAAAAAGGATAATGCAAATTGATTCATGTGGTATATTCACCATATACTTTACAAATTGCAAAAGATATCTCGATAATTCTAAATTCCAAAGAGAACGATCTCGTCATTACTGAAAAATTTTAAATGATATCATCATTGGTGAAAAAAATTATAAAATAATAATAATAATAATCATTTAGCGCAATGTTTTTGCAAATTTACCATTATGGCCTGCTAATATTTGGAAAAAGGCATGTACTAGGGAGAAATGTCCTCACATGCAGATTGTAACCTAACTTACTGGACATAATGAACACATGATGCTATAACTGTTCGTATTTGACAGATTTCTTTTTCTCATCGAGGACAGACCATGCAAAGGCACCGTAAACTTATGCCTTTAGTTAGCTGCAGGACACCCCAGGAAATCTGAGTGTGTGTACAGATTCATGCACGCTTACTTTGTATTCTATTTGACATTCTTCCAGCACTATTGTGCACCCTTAAGTTGCTCATCATGTTTTTTAACTTCTTTTGATTTTTCAATAATTTTATTTCGAGTTTTCAATTAACCACTTAAAGTTAACTCCCAAGTCTCAACCATTCTTAAGTCACACAAATGTTTAATCATTGTCACTCCCAAGCTTTTCCCAAAGTCAAAATAAACCAATCTCAAAATCCTCACAAATTTAATATGAATGAAGCAGAACGAAAGGCATGAATAAATATGAGAAAAGATAAACCACCGAGGGAAGCAATAAGTTAGTAACATGGAAGGTGGGGACCTACATTCGTTTCTGCTTGAGAACCCTCATCGCTCGAGACTTGACAGCTTCTTGTGCAGGACCGGGCCTTGTCTTCTTGATTTGCTCTTTGTATCTATTCAGTTCAATATCAAGTTTTTTTATCTTTTCATCCACTGTTTCGCCCCTTTTATTGATCTGTTACATAATAATGTTTTACTTCTTCAACAGCAGTAGCAGATAGAATACCAAACGTAACTACAAAGCTATGTATTGAAACAATAGACAATAGTTTTTCGGAAACAAAACATCGCGTTTAGTTACAAAAACTATCGATTCTACAGCTAGTCATAATGATTTGACTAAATCTTCAAACTCATGATTATAGTAAAATCTACCCAATTTTTACTATTATTTGTTTCGGTTTAATTAAACCTAATCATAGTAGAGCAATAAATTGAAATCCCCAATCCCCATTCCCAAAAAACTGGAACAAAAACAAAACGCCGATAATCCCAACTCTAATTAAATTAAGTGATACCCTACCCACCAATCAACCATCAATCACAAGAGAGGGAGGGAGGAAACAAACCCTATCGGAGGCATCGCCAACAGAAGGAGGGGGCTCTTTGTCTTTCTTGACACCGAAGACCCTTTTCATCTCTCTTCTACTTGTAGTTGTCCGTCCCGTTCACCTTTGACCCGACCCGATGATGACGATGATTCCACCAAAAGCACAACTGAACGCAAACAACACAGACAGACAGAGTAAGAGAGAGGGAGAGAGAGAGGAGAGAGAATCTTCCAGATCCAGATCCAGATCGAACTTACCACGAAAATGGCAACTTTCTGGGAAACCAGACTTTCCCAAAATCCAAGAGGAGGACGAAGGGAGAAGAGACTTTGATTTGAATTGATGCGAATATCCACCAGTGGCCGTGCCCTAAAAACCAAATTAATTTTGGGATTTTTCGCGGTAGCGTAATGGCTCTCTTTCCTTCTGCAACACTCTGGAAAAACAAAACCCTTATACAACTCGGGTCGGATCAACCCGAATCAGCCCAACTCTCAACCATATTTAACCCGCTTTGTTGTGTTCTCAATCCCTCTTATCTTTGTTGTAAAATAGTGGATATATTTGCCCACATGTATATAGTAATTCATTTATAAGTTTAATAGTGTCATTTGTTTGTTTTTTATGAGGTTGCTCAATAAATAGAGCACTACATTTGATCAAATTAGACTTGGAAGAGAAAAAACGACTAATAGCAATAATATACATTACTTCCTCTGCAACAGCTTGTGCTGGTATAATATTTTGCAACTGCTTCGCTCATGTTCATAGTAAAGGTTATATCTCTAAATTTTGCCTATTTATAACACGTTATCAGCACGAATCTCTAATCATTTCTTATTTCCCTTCACCGAAAGAAATAAAATAAAATGTTTCCTCTAAGGTTTTTACTATTCTTCTTCTTCATTTGCCTCAATTGCTGGATATACCCTCGCGAAGAATTGTTTTCACCATGTTTACTTCTAGTCCTCAATCTAACAGTTACTTATATCTTTGATTTCTTGTTTGGTGTAACTCTTGACTACTAATTCAGTGTTTATTTATGCAATCCAAGATGGTGCGGTATCATCACCTATCTTGGACTGCAGATCTAATTTTACTGCAAATTTTAAGTGGAGCGGTATAATCGCCCACCCTATCGTGCATATTTAAATTTACCTTCTATTTAATTTTATTGCAATTTTAGGTGGTATGAAATAATCACCCACCATGCTCTACATATTTAAATTTTATCGCAATTTTAGGTGGTGCAGTATAATCGTCCACCCTAATTTGCATATTTAAATTTTATCGCAATTTTAGGTGGTGCTGTATAATCGTCCACCTTACTCTACATATTTAAATTTTCCTGCTGTTTAAAGTGGTGCGGAATAATCTCTCATCCTATACTTGTTTCGATGAGAATGGTGTGGTACAATTGCCCTTCTCATTAATCATGTAAATCTCAAGCCTGAAGTTTCGAGTACTTATCATTTTGGCCTAAAGATCAAAAATTTGTAAGAACCAGATGTTCTAACAATATATTCCTCCAAAACACATATTATTGCAAGTTCTTACACACCTCATTTTTCTTTCTAAAAAGAAAATGGCAAACTTGGCAAAGCTTGATTTTGCTGCCCTGGACATTACTAGGAATAATTACCTTACCTGGGTACTGGATACCAAGATTCATCTGGAAGCAGCGAATCTTAGAGATACTATTAGGGAAGAGAGCAGTTCATCCTCTCAAGAGAGGGCAAAGGCCATGATTTTTATTCATCGTTATCTTGATGAGGCACTAAAGAGCGAGTACTTAACGATTGAAGATCTGTTAGCCTTCTGGAAGGCCTTGAGAAACAGATATAATCACCAGACAACGATGATTCTTCCAAGAGCTTGCTATGACTGGACTCACCTAAGGATCCAGGATTTCAAGTCAGTGGCTGAGTACAATTATGCGTTGTTCAGAATTACCTCTCAGATGAAGCTCTGTGGGATACTATTACTGAGGAGATGTTATTGGAAAATACTTTCAACACATTTCATGCCTCTAACATGCTCCTGCAGCAGTAGTATAAAGCGCGAGGCTTCACTTAATACAACCAGCTAATATCTATGCTCCTGGTAACTGAACAGAACAGTGAGTTCCTGATGAAAAATCATAATTCCCGACCTACTGGATCAGCACCTTTCCCAGAAGTGAATATTGTTTCCCTTGAAAGGAATATCATATCCTTCCGTGGCAATAATTATAAACGAGGACGTGGCCACAAGCAAGGCCGGTGGAACGGGAAAGACAAGAACCATGGTGTCTAATTTCACAACCAGGTTCCAAGGCATAATCCAGGCGCGAGCTTAAAAAATGCAAATCGTCAGAAAGGAAAAGCTCATGTGAACACTCCTAGAAATCCTGAAGGAGTTTGCCATAAGTGTGGTGGCAACGGACATTGGGCGCATACTTGTCGCACTCCAAAGCATCTGGTGGATCTGTATCAAGCATCCTTCAAGGAGAAGGGTGTCGAGATCAATTTCTTCGACTAGACTCAACGAATGGAAACCCCTGATCCAATAACCAATTTATCAAGACAGTTAAACACAACCCACCTGGATGCTACAGACTTTATTAATGAAAAAGGGAATGAAGTTTATGGGTTCGATTGAATTATTTATGTTTAATGTACTCTTGTTATTTGTACTTGTGGTTTAATGCTCGCATTTTCAATTCAATAAAAGTAGTATTCTAGTATGAATAAACTGCTTTTTCTTTACTCAGAGAACATGGATAAAAATTATGGTTATTCTTAAAATAAGAGCAATGGAGAAGACTTTTATCTTGCAGACAGTGCAACCGCGCATTCAATACTTCGAGATCGAAAGTATTTCTCGAATTTGGTACTTGCAAAAGTAAAGGTAACAACAATATCAGGGCAATCAGATGTAATTGAAGGCTCAGTAAAAGCCCAGATTATGTTACCAAATGGAACAATATTGTTCATAAAGAATGCATTATATGCTACTCGATCCATTCGAAATTTGTTGAGTTTTAAAGACATACGTCTAAATGGATACCACATTGAAACGAAAAGTGTAGAAAATGTGGAATATTTATGCATTACCTCCAACGATACCCAGAAGCGTATATTGGAGAAGTTGCATGGTTTATCGAGTGGATTGTATTATATATACATAAAGACAGTTGAGGTATATACTGTCATGAACCAGAAGTTCATTGATTCAAAGGTTTACATGCTTTGGCATGACCGTCTAGGTCATCCAGGATCTACCATGATGCGTAGAATCATTACCAACTTTAATGGACATCCATTATTGAGCAGATATATTGATGTCTCAAATGATAACCCTTGCAAGGCTTGTTCCCAAGGGAAGTTAGTAATTACATCACAACTAAAGGTTAATGATGAATCCCCATCATTTTTGCAAAGAATTCAAGGGGATATTTGTGGACCTATTCAACCACTTTGTGGACCATTTCGATATTTTATGGTTTTGGTTGATGCATCTACCCGATGGCCACATGTTTGCCTATTGTCTACTCGAAATGTAGCTTTTGCGAGACTTCTTGCTCAGATAATTAAGTTGCGAGCACAGTTCCCAGATCATCCCATTAAGTCCATTCGACTTGATAACGCTGGTAAATTTACGTCTCAAACCTTTGATGATTACTGCATGGCACTGGGCATTGATGTTGAACATCATATTCCTCATGTCCATACCCAAAATGGTTTAGCAGAGGCATTTATCAAGCGGCTTCAATTAATAGCCCGCACTCTGCTCATGAAAATGAAATTGCCAGTCTCTGCATGGGGACATGCCATCTTACATACAGCATCATTGGTTCGACCGAGACCCATAGCCAACCACCAATACTCATCAATATAACTCGTGTTTGGACATCAGCAAAATATTTCACATTTACGAGTTTTTGGTTGTGCTGTTTATGTGCCTATTGCACCGCCACAACGAACTAAAATGGGACCTCAGCGCAGACTGGGAATTTATGTAGGTTTTGATTCACCATCTATCATTAGAAATTTGGAACCTTTAACTGGTGATATTTACAGCTCGTTTTGCTGATTGTCATTTTGATGAGATAGTTTTCCCGTCGTTATGGGGAGAAAAGATCGTTCCAGAAGAACGACAAGAGCTGACATGGGTTGTTCCCACCTTATCTCATTTTGATCCACGAAACACTTAATGTGAAAATGAAGTGAAAATGATCGTTCATCTTCAAGGTATTGCTAATCAAATGGCAGATGCATTTAATGATGCTTTGAAAGTGACAAAGTCACATATACCAGCTGCAAACGCACCTGCAATAATTGATGTCCCTGTTGGACAAAATAAAGTGGCAGCAAATGATTCATCCAATGCACGCCTGAAGCGTGGTAGACCCCCAGATTCAAAAGATTCAGCCCCTCGAAAGAGAAAGATGAGGGCACAATTGAACCCAAATGATATCATTCAAGAAAAGAAATTGAATGATAAATCCACAATTCATGATTCTGTACTTCCAGAAAAAGAAAATGTCCTTGATGAGACACATGTCCCTAAAGAGACAAAAGTACATGAAAGCAAAGAAATAACCATAAATTATGCATGTACTAATGAATTGTGGGATCGAAATGAAATAATCATCGACGACATGTTTGCATTTGCAATAGCCACTGAAATTATATTAAGTGATGATATTGAGCCCCGCTCTGTTGATGAATACAGACAGAGACAAGATTGGCCTAAGTGGAAAGATGCAATCCAAGTAGAATTAAATTCCTTGGAAAGACGAAATGTTTTTGGACCAGTAGTCCAAACCCCGCCTGGTGTGAACCCCTTAGGTTACAAATGGGTTTTCATAAGGAAACGTAACGAGAAAAATGAGATTGCAAGATATAAAGCACGACTCGTTGCACAAGGTTTTTCACAAAGACCTGTAATTGATTATGAAGAGACTTACTCTCCTGTAATGGACGTAATTACGTTCCGTTACTTAATAAGTTTGGTGATTTCAGAAAAACTTGACATGTGACTTATGGATGTCACCGCGTATCTATATGGAGAATTAGATACTGACATATATATGAAAGTCTCAGAAGGACTTAAGTTGCCTGAAGCAACTAACAAACCAAGAGGTATGTTCTCAATCAAATTAAGGTGATCATTGTATGGGCTGAAACAATCTGGGCAAATGTGGTATAATCGTCTCAGTGAGTATTTGATTAAAGAAGGATATGCCAACAATGTCATCTGCCCTTGTGTGTTCATTAAGAAATCAAATATTGGATTTGCTATAGTGGCAGTATACGTCGATGATATGAACCTAGTTGGAACCCTTGAAGAGCTCAACAAAACTGCTGAATATCTGAAAAGCGAATTTGAAATGAAAGACCTTGGGAAAACAAAATATTGTCTTAGACTGCAGATCGAGCATTATGTTA